AATTTTAAAATTTTCTACTCTTAATCAGGAGATCAATCTCAAATGGGAGGGGGGTAGTGTTATGATATTAGCTGAAGCTACTCGAGCTGGTGGTGTTACAATCGCAGCTCACAGCCACTAACAACTATGGAAACAGTGTAAGGAAGGCCATCACGTGCCACCACGTGAGGTCCCTTTCATAAGCGGCCCATAGGGCTCGGTAAAATAGGGCACAAGGTGCATAGATAAAAGGGGTTGGAGGCCTCGGAAGAAGGCCTCCAGTCAATAGTCGATGTATCTACGTAGACCTATTGTGCTTACAGAATACGATACCTTCCTGCCTCCTGACCTGGTTCCCTGAGAGACCCTTAGGCTTACGATCCTTACAAACAGGCAGCCATAGTAGCCACTAAGGTTACTGTCATACTGACATTCGTTGCACTCAGTTTGCTATCAAACTCAAGAGCAAACTTGGAAATCTCCTCCTCAAACCTACAAGTCACTATACATATTTTGGCTTATCACACCAACAACAAGAGCAATACTACTCAACGATTGCTACAACCATCTATGATTCATTACACGTCATCGCTCCTTAGTTACTAACCCACCATTACAATAGCGAGTTGCTATTTCAATTTCGGTTTATATCGTCAAGTCAGACACATATTGCCAAAGGCCCTATTGTGCAGTTGTTGGCCGTAGGAGCCACTCGAGAGGAGCGCACTTCCCTCACAGTTATATCCTTGTCGAGGGAGCGTTGTAAAAGGTCTGACTTGCGAAGGTGGTGTGTGTGTGTCGAGCTGAATGTCGAAAGCCAACTTTGAGGGGTTGCCTGGAGATAGTCCTGGAATTGACTTCAGGATAAGGTTTCTGGTTCTGGGGTTTTCAAAGAGTGGATTTCGATTTCGATTTCAGAAGAGGGTTCAGCTCAAAGAGCAGGAAAAGAGGTATAAGAGAGATTGAGTTTTATGTCACGGTTCACCAAGGCATAGGGCGCCAGTTGGGTATTATGAATTAAACTCAATCTAGAGAAGAAAGGAAAGAGAAGAGGAGCACTCGAGCAGTGGCTCGATCTATATACAGCTATTGTGGAGTGAATTCTCTTTAGCGAGACCAGTTCTGAGAATTCACTCCACAACTGAAAACTTCGCTCCAACCCCGGAAAGCTCCCCACACCCCTGAACCCCCACTCGAGCTGCAAGGCGCACTTGATATCGTAACACTTTACAGGTTAATAACTCAACAATTAACTATTTAAAACCTCTAAAACTACCCTAATTAGGAACCTGCTTTAATGGGCATGTACGGGCAGTATGTGTGAGTGATCTACACATACTACATGCTCGTGGCGCACGTATTTGCAGGTCTGCTAGCTCACCTGTAACCCTACCCTCAACCACTATATTTGCTGTTTGTGCCCGCTCTAGGCCTTCCTGAACCGTTAAAACACCTCCCTTAGCTATATACGACCTCCTTACAGCCCTCTTCTTCTTTTGCCTCTCATTTGCAGCCCGTAGCTGCTTGTTTTCGTCCGCAAGAAGGACCGCATTATGCATAGACATTTGGCACCCTTTTACTAGCTGCTGGAATGCCTGCTCTGTAGGGCTTGAGAAGCCTGCTATATGGCGCTGAACAGATTCCTTAATTGCAGTAGCCTGACGGTCCAATTGACTAACATTATGGGGCGTTTCAGGTACCCAACAGTCCTGGGTACTCGGTGTTCCACCCACTCGCTTCGCTCGTAGGTGGCGACAGCAAGTTGTGCGTGCGACAGCAAGATGTGCGACACATAAAACGATGAAAAAGACGCCTTATATATCAACTATATAACTATATAATTAAAACATAAAATCAATAGAACTACTATCACTATCGCTACTGCCACTATTGCTACTATCACTTTGATCCTTACTATACCGTAAAATGATCACTTTTGATTTCAACCCTTCCTTCTTCCGCTCTGCTACCCGCTTCCTCTCAACCTTACGCTCTTCAATTTCGATTTTACGTGCTTGCGCTTGTAGCTGCTTTACTACTTGGTCCGATTCCCTTGCTGCTCTTGCGTCTGCTTTTGCTTGCAACTTTGCTTTCTTCTCTTCCCGCATTTTCCGTGCATCTGATGCATATAACTGCCCTCCTTTCTGTAGTGATTTCCGTGCCCTTGCCTTTGCTGCCTTCTGCTCTACTGCACGTAGAGTCATAATATCTAGCTCGGTCTTATAGAGCTCTGCCCGGTGTAGAACAACTGTAGTTCCACGTGCAAATGATTGAAACCCTTCTCTTGAAGGCAATGAGAAAGCTTCCTCTGCTCTCTTCTGCCAATGTTCAACCGCTTGCACACTTTGCATAGTTGTTTTCGGTGTTGAGATAATATTATATGAAGCAAATGGCTCATAATCAGGTGTTTGATTCCGAGTCTCTTGTATCTTGTCAATTACAAGTGGAGGATTATATGGATATAGTCCTGTATTTCTCCAACCAGATTGAATTGTACGGACAGTTAGAGATTGCCGTCGGATTTGCGGGAGGTCTGAAAGGAACGTACGTAGCTTATACTCATAGTCGTAGCTACGTACTGCTTGATCAAGTGCCTTTTGATGAAAGTGTTTGCACTGCTTAAAAACCGCTACATCAAGAGGTTGTAATAGATGTGTTGTATGAGCAGGAAGGCAGCAAATAACAATGTTATGCTCTTCTGCTAATGTAAGAAAGCGCTCTGTTTTATGAGAGTCATGGCCGTCAAGTAATAAGAGGCGAGTATCATCTGGTGCCATATGCTCTGCAGATAGTTGGATAAAATGCATAAGGTATTGGATTGCAATGTCGTCGTTTGAATACCCGCTCTCATTTACAATAATGAGAGCATTTGGCTCAAGGTCATCATTGTACCATGAATCCATATGAAGTTTGCCAGGGATAATGATAGCTTCTGCAAGTGCAGCACCACTTGCATTTACTGCCTCAATTACAGTAACAGAGAGCCGATTCTCAGGATTATCAACAGTCCACTGCTTTACACCGATTGGTACAATAACAGCCGTAGACTTATAACACCCAATCATATAGCCTGTCTCATCAACATTCCATAAATTATATGGCTTAATGTTATGTTTTGTAATAAGGGCGTTATATGTGAGATGTTTTGTAATAAGGGCGTTATATGTGAGAAAGAATTCCTCAAACACCTCCTTTCTTTTGTGCTTGCTTCCGATGTGTATTTAACGTCTTCGTGTGAATTGTATGAAATTCGGGGTGTGCTTTTAGAAAGCGTTGTAGCCACCGTTGTGATGGTATCGTACGATTAGGTCGTAAGTCTGCAACTGCCCGTAGTATCATAGATCGGTTGGCAGGGACCCCGCGCTCAAGTTGGTCGTATATGAATTGACAGACCGCGGTCTCTTGCGATTGAGATAAGACTCGATTGCTACCTCCGTGGGGTAATTGAGGAGACGTAGTACTCGTAATACGACGTCGGAGTGTCTCACGGTTGACATTGAATTTATTTGCAACCCAAGCAATTGTATATGTACTTGGTTGTTTTAAGAAGAACTGTTGGGCCTCATTAAGGCGAGCAATCATAGTAGGATCGTTATTTTGAGGCATTGTAGATACTACGTTATGAAGAATACTATTATTTTTTCTATATATCAAAATAGCGGTGTACGCACATCTTGCTGTCGCACGCACAACTTGCTGTCGCCACCTACGAGCGAAGCGAGTGGGTGGAACACCGAGTAGTGTCCAGGAGAAGCAGAGGTGGGGTTGGTGTCCATAATTGAGTATTCAGCTTCAAGAGCACCCATTCTGGGTCGTACGGGTGTATGCCAGTGGCTGCAAAGCCACTACAGATCACATTAAGTGTCATAGAGTCTTTGCGGGCCATAAGGTAGGCTGTAACTAACTCCAACCTGCATATACCCCTCAATTTGTTTTCCGTACAACCGTTTTATAACTGCAAAGCAGCTAACGTCAAGTGGCTGCAAAAGATGTGACGAGTGTGGAGGCATACAGAGTGTGATAATTGAGTGCTCCTTGCAAAACAGGTCAAATTCAGGAGTAGAATGGCTTCCATGTCCGTCAAGAATCAAGAGCCTGTAAACACCCTTTGTACGGTCTTTTGTGTACTTCTGGAAGACGTCCGTAAGCTGCACGGGAAGAATCTCTAGTGGGGCGTACTTGAAGCCCTGGTTATCATCTAGGAATGGTCGGAGCCTGGTCTTCATCTCTTGGTCACGAGTCGTGATGAGAGGCATTCGTGATGTGCTTCGCGATGATCTTCTTCAAGCAACTCAAAACCTGCACATACGTTAATATTCGCCGTAATGTAATATAAATCCCGTACTATAGCTACTGTCAAACATCTAGAAAGTGAGCTCCCTTGTTGAGCAGCAGCTTCACCTTCACAGTCTGTTTTCTCCAGCCGAAGCTGCCCGCAGCGTATTGCCGTAGTCTCCGCCTAACGCGTTGACGTTAGCGCCCTTATTAGCAGCGGCCTCCAGCCGAAGTTGCCGCCGTAGCTTCCGCCTCGCACATTGACTAAATCGGAAATTTCTTGTAGGCTCAATGCTGAGAAAGGGATGATCAACATATCTGTCGGCATTCCAATTCGCCTCTAGAATTTCGAAATAACTGGAGAGCTTGGTCTGTTGGTCTGTTGTGCTGTGTGAAAAGTGGATGGTTTAGGGGGGTGGGGGGATGATGGTTGACTATAATTATCAATAACTAATCAATAAATAAACCGCCGACTTTCGGAGATTTAATAAAATCGCTACTTGCAACTGTAGCGTTTAGATTTGTGAAGCAATATGAAGGTAGGTAGATTTAACACTTATCCTGAAGTGATAGAAGATATTAACCAGCGGTACTCCGTACTCCCAGCGCACATAAGTTAGTGATACTGTTGTTGTTGAACCTCGCACCTCACTCACACACCTCACCACTTCCTGCCTCAGGCCCCAACACCCCCAAAAAAACAAAATTCACAAGCCATTCCCCTCCCCCCATCCCCAACTTTTTTACCGACTGTTGACCCGTTGAATTACGCCAACACGCCCACTCACCCCTGCACCACCTCACCCATTTCCCATGATCCCCTGAAAATCGGTCGTCCAGACTGTAGCCGCAGCCACAATTCCCCCCTCCCTCTCGTCCCTGAATTATTTAATATCCATCACTTTACTATATTATCCCGGTTTGCATCTTATCAAAGCATCACTCACATCACTCACATCACTCACTCAATCGCGAAACCCAAAACCCATCGCTCAATCAATCTTCCGAACCCGGCATCAACCAACCAACCTTCCGATATCCCCCATCCGGACCCGAAACTCTTGGCTTCCCTGTCCGTTATCAAGCGCTACTCGGTTATATCTGTAAGAACATCCTCGTACCTTCACCCAACACCACCAGTACAAACACACTCTCACACACTCTCCGCTCTCCTCCGGTCTCACACTTACTTACCCCCGAATCCAGCCCAGCGTCGTTCCCCGTTCACGACATCTCCTTTCCGCGACGAAGCATCCCGTCTTCCTTGGTCAGGACCCCCTAAACGCAACAGATCCGCCAGCATGTCCGTCGCCCTCGTCGAGACTCAGCCTCCCAAGCTGGAGAAGAAGCCCGTCAAGTTCAGCAACCTGCTCCTCGGAGCAGGCCTGAATCTTTTCGAGGTAAGAGAGCATACCATACCACGTGTCCACATGCCTATTTGTCCCGATTTCTGATGCCGAGAATCGGGATTGGCCTGATGGAGATTGGATGATGGGAACACACCACTGACGAATTGCATTAGGTGACAACTCTCGGCCAGCCATTGGAGGTCACCAAGACCACCATGGCCGCCAACCGCGGTGACACCTTCGCCGGCGCCCTGGGCCGCATCTGGGGCCGAGGCGGTGTCTTTGGCTGTTAGTCCCCCATCCCCATCCCAATCCACATCCCCAGCTTCCCCCAGCTTTCCCTCACAAACCCCACACCCCCAAAACCCCATCTAACATTTTCCCTCTAGTCTACCAAGGTCTCATCCCCTGGGCCTGGATCGAAGCCTCCACCAAAGGCGCCGTCCTCCTCTTCGTCGCCTCCGAAGCCGAATACTACGCCCGCACCTTCGGCGCCGGCGACTTCACCGCCGGCATCAGCGGCGGCGTCGCCGGCGGCGTCGCGCAGGCCTACGCCACCATGGGCTTCTGCACCTGCATGAAGACCGTGGAGATCACCAAGACCAAGCTTGCCGCCACGGGCGTCGCGCCCCAATCCACCTTCGCCACCTTCGCGGACATCTACCGCAAGGAGGGCATCAAGGGTATCAACAAGGGCGTCAACGCCGTGGCGATCCGGCAGATGACGAACTGGGGGTCCCGTTTCGGACTTTCGCGTCTTGCCGAGTCCGGGATTCGCAAGGCGACGGGGAAGGAGGAGGGCGCTGCGCTGGGGGCGTGGGAGAAGATCCTGGCGAGTGGGCTGGGTGGTGGACTGTCGGCGTGGAATCAGCCGATTGAGGTTATTCGCGTGGAGATGCAGAGTAAGACTGCGGATCCGAATAGGCCGAAGAACTTGACGGTGGGGAAGACGTTTAGCTATATTTACTCGCAGAATGGGATTAAGGGACTTTATCGTGGCGTGGTGCCGCGTATTGGGTTGGGCGTTTGGCAGACGATTTGTATGGTTGCTATGGGTGATATGTGAGTATCTCCTTTCCTCTTTTTCTCTCTCTCGATTCTGGTGGTGGGTGGTGGTGGCATTTTGTCCATCACCGCCCCTTATTAGCTGCGGACGGTTTTACTGACGATTTATTCTTTGTACAGGGCCAAGAGCTATGTCGAGAAACTCACGGGCGACTCGGTCTCAGCGAAGCATTAGACGGCGTTTTGTGGGATCTAAACAATCCATCATACATGGGAGCATACGTCGCAAGACGAATTGTCACGATAGGTTCTAGCGCGCAAAAGAAACAGGACGGAACGGGATTGGCTTCTTTTTTTTTTCTTCCCGTTTTATTACAAGTTGTAGTTACAGAGATGGGATAGGGACCTCGATTGATAGAGTGTAGAACGTGCACACCTTTGCACCTTCATCTCTTGTCTTCCTTGCATGTGTACGTCCTCGTCATCCATCCCTCGGCACCAAAACGCACCCTCCCTACCCCAAGTGACCATCTTCTACTCCCCAGCATACCGTACCTTATTACATCTCCCCCCCCAGCCGCCCCACGTGTGAAACAGAAGTTGTTTGCAGCTGTGCAGGGTGTGAAAAGATGGAAGAGTGTGATTAGTCATCTACGCCTCCTTCCGCAATCCTCCGCCGTATGAGTGGGGCGCGGTACGGGATATATTTAATGTATTTATTTTTAGTTTGTTATTTGGGGAGAGGTTAGATCAGGTCAGTGTCAGTACGGGAGGGGAAAGTGATAATGACGTCGGTGGAATGCGCGGTGTAACTAACATCCGCCCGCCGTATCGCCGCCCGCCGTATCGCCGCCCGCCGTATCGCCGCCCGCCGTATCGCCGCCCGCCGTATCGCCGATCTCTACCTGCCTGTCTGCCTGTAGTCAAGGGAGGAGGGAGGGCAGTTAGTATGTGCATGTCCTGTGATGGGATGTGCTACGTCTCCTCACCTCTACAGCATCACACAGATCCCACAGAGCAGCGTATAGCAACCACGGCAGACGCAGCTTAGAGGCAGACGCAGCTTAAAACCACGGTTGCGTCCAACATGGGCCAACTCCCATCTGCAGTCCATCTGCAGTCCATCAGTCCATAGTCCATCAGTCAGTCCACAGTCCATCAGTCAGTCCACAGTCCATCAGTCAGTCCACAGTCCATCAGTCAGTCCACAGTCCATCAGTCACAGTCCATCAGTCCACAGTCCATCAGTCCATCTGGAGTCCATGTGGAGTTCATCCCACGATGACGCGCTAGGAGGGGCTAGTTGGAGCTACTGAGACAGGTGAAGGCGCTAGGGATGCTTTGGGAGAGCTCGGCGGTGGGAGGGGGGGGTGATTGGCGTGATTGGCAGCTGCCAGCCGTTAAGGAGGGATGGGGGCATCTGTCGTCTGTCGTCTGTCGTCTGTCGTCTGTCGTCTTGTCTCTGTCTCTGTCTCTGTCTCTGTCTCTGTCGTCTGCTCTGTCGTCTGTCGTCTGTCGTCTGTTGTCTGTCGTCTGTCGTCTACCGTCTGTCTCTGTCGTCTGTCGTCTGTCGTCTGTCGTCTGGGTATAACTCTGTGTGTATTAGGTGTAGTAGTATACCACTACTCCACCGCTGCTCTACCACTACTCTACCGCTGCTCCACCACTACTCTACCGCTGCTCCACCACTACTCCACCACTACTCTACCGCTGCTGCTCCACCACTGCTCCACCACTGCTTCACCCACCCACTACTCTACCGTTGCCCCACCACTGCTCCACCACTGCTTCAACTGCTTCACCACCACTGCTTCACCACCACTGCTTTACCACCACTGCTTCACCACCACTACTCCCTCTACCACTCCTACTGTATTTAGCTATTTCACTTTCCCTACCATTTCCGCTACTACTTCCCCCAATCTACCACTACCCTACCACCAATCTACCACTACCCCTAACTACCCTACCCACCTACCACCAATCTACCACTACCCTAACTACCCTAACTACCCTACCCACCTACCACCAATCTACCAGACTACACGCTACTGTAACTACAGTTGCGGGACATGCTCTGACATTTCCCACTCCCTTGCTTGTTTCCTTCCCTTCCCTTGCTTGTTTCCTTCCCTTCCCTTGCTTGTTTCCTTCCCTTGTTGTTTTCCCCTTTCCTTGCTACTTTCCTTCCCATTTCCCTTCCCATTTCCACCCTGCTCTGAAGTCACTAAAGTCACAAAGTGCTTACACAATAAAGTACTAAAGTCACTAAAGTCACTCAGGCCACTGAAGTACCTGCACACAGACCACACTGCAATCCACTGTACATCTACTCTACAAACAACTGTACATGCTAATTCAGATCCATCTCACTGTTCATTCACCTTAATCCACCCTACTTTCCTCCCACTTCATCAACCTAACCCCCAGTCCCTTCCTGACATCCCCATGTACCTACCCATACCACCACAAGTAACTCTACATCGTCGCTCTCGCCGTGCCACAAACCACGCCTCCCTCCCCCTTCGTACTTTCTTTTCTCCCTCCCCTTCCCCCCAACTCAATCGTCGCCTCATATTCCTTCCCACTCTCCCCAATCTCCCAATCAAAGAGCTCCAAATTCTCACCATTCAATTCCCCTCTCTACGCCTCGCCCATCACCCTTTCTCTCTTCCCTTTCTTCCTCCCTCTCTCTCCCAACCACATCAACCAACTAATCACCTTTTTTTCTTCTATTTTAGCCTCGCTGGATCACAACCCCCTTCGTGATCCCTCTTCATTGTCTACAGACAGCGTCGTCGCGTCTCGCAACCCGTCGCCTGTCCCGACACCTCTCCGAACGAAAAAAAAAAAAAAAAAAAAAAAAAAAAACAAAAACAAAACAAAAACATCATCCGACAACCTCCAAGCTCCTCGGAGTGACCACCTCAGCCCACCATGGCCGAGAACACCGGCCACGTCGGCGCGGCCGGCGCTCAGCACCTCAACTCCACCATTGAGTCCGGCAACTTCAGCGAGAAGCTCGAGGCTCCCGTCGGCGGCGGCGTGCCGCCCACCTCCAAGCACAAGCCATTGGAGGAGGAGGAGGAGGAGGATGAGGACATGGACGCCCTTATCGACGAGCTCGAGTCCCAGGACGGCCACGCTGAGGAAGAAGAGGAGGAGGAGGAGAACCCGGCCACCGGTCGCGTCATCCCCGAGGACCAGCTCCAGACCGATACGCGTACTGGTCTCACGGAGCAGGAGGTCGCCCTGCGTCGCAAGAAGTACGGTCTCAACCAGATGAGGGAGGAGAAGGAGAACTTGATCCTCAAGTTCCTCGGATACTTCATCGGTCCTATTCAATTCGTCATGGAGGTCAGTTCTTACCATCCGCCCTCTGCTCCCCCCCCCCAAGCCCCAATCTCCTCACCATAACATCATGGCCTGAAATATGAGGCTGCTATGTCACCGTTTCTTGGTTCATTGCTCCACTTATGTCATTTACTGGACTGACATTTCTCGCCCCGACACTAGGCTGCTGCCGTTCTTGCTGCGGGTCTTGAGGACTGGGTCGATTTCGGTGTCATCTGCGCGCTTCTGCTGCTTAACGCGGCTGTTGGTTTCATCCAAGAATTCCAGGCCGGTTCCATTGTCGACGAGCTCAAGAAGACGCTCGCTCTCAAGGCTGTTGTTCTCCGTGACGGTCGTCTCTTCGAGGTCGACGCCCCGGATGTTGTTCCCGGTGATATCCTCCAGATTGAGGAGGTGAGTTCATGGTCCTCCCCCGCCAATGGACGCTGCTGACCACACAGGGTACTATTATCCCCGCTGACGGTAGAATTGTTACCGAAGATGCTTTCCTCCAGGTCGATCAATCTGCCATCACTGGTGAATCCCTTGCTGTTGACAAGCACAAGGGCGACCAGTGCTATGCTTCTTCCGGTGTCAAGCGTGGTGAGGCCTTCCTGGTCATCACCGCCACTGGTGACAGCACTTTCGTCGGTCGTGCCGCTGCCCTGGTCAACCAGGCTTCCGCCGGCACTGGTCATTTCACTGAGGTCCTGAACGGCATCGGAACGGTGCTGCTCGTCCTCGTTATCCTCACCAACTTGGTCGTCTGGGTCTCCTCGTTCTACCGCTCCAACGGTATTGTCAAGATCCTCGAGTTCACTCTGGCCATCACCATCATTGGTGTCCCCGTCGGTCTCCCCGCTGTCGTCACCACCACCATGGCTGTCGGAGCTGCTTACCTCGCCAAGAAGAAGGCCATCGTCCAGAAGCTGTCCGCCATTGAGTCGCTCGCTGGTGTCGAAATTCTCTGCTCTGACAAGACCGGTACGCTCACCAAGAACAAGCTCTCTCTCGCCGAGCCATTCACTGTCGAGGGTGTTGAGCCCGATGACCTCATGTTGACTGCCTGTTTGGCCGCCTCCCGCAAGAAGAAGGGTATTGATGCCATTGACAAGGCCTTCCTCAAGGCTCTCCGCTTCTACCCACGCGCCAAGTCTGTCCTCTCCAAGTACAAGGTTATTGAGTTCCACCCCTTCGATCCCGTCTCCAAGAAGGTCCAGGCCATCGTCGAGTCTCCCCAGGGCGAGCGCATCATCTGTGTCAAGGGCGCTCCCCTTTTCGTCCTGAAGACCGTCGAGGAAGACCACGCCATCCCAGAGGACGTCGACCAGGCCTACAAGAACAAGGTCGCTGAGTTCGCTACCCGTGGTTTCCGTTCCCTCGGTGTTGCCCGCAAGCGTGGCGAAGGCTCGTGGGAGATTCTCGGTATCATGCCCTGCTCTGACCCCCCTCGTCACGATACTGCCCGCACCATCAACGAAGCCAAGACTCTCGGTCTCTCCATCAAGATGTTGACTGGTGATGCCGTCGGTATTGCCCGTGAAACCTCCCGCCAGCTCGGTCTCGGTACCAACGTCTACAACGCCGAGCGTCTCGGTCTCGGCGGTGGTGGTGACATGCCCGGTTCCGAGGTTTACGATTTCGTCGAGGCCGCTGATGGATTCGCTGAGGTCTTCCCCCAGCACAAGTACAACGTCGTCGAGATTCTCCAACAGCGTGGTTACCTCGTTGCCATGACTGGTGACGGTGTCAACGATGCTCCCTCCCTGAAGAAGGCCGATACCGGTATTGCCGTCGAGGGTGCCTCTGACGCTGCCCGCTCCGCCGCTGATATCGTCTTCTTGGCTCCTGGTCTCGGCGCCATCATCGATGCTCTCAAGACTTCCCGCCAGATTTTCCACCGCATGTACGCCTACGTTGTCTACCGTATCGCGCTGTCCATCCATCTCGAGATCTTCCTTGGTCTCTGGATCGCCATCCTGAACCAGTCGCTTAACATTGAGCTTGTCGTCTTCATCGCCATTTTCGCCGATGTTGCCACCCTTGCCATTGCCTACGATAACGCGCCCTTCTCCAAGACCCCCGTCAAGTGGAACCTCCCCAAGCTCTGGGGTATGTCCGTGCTCCTCGGTATTGTCCTTGCCGTCGGCACCTGGATCACTCTCACCACCATGCTTGCCCAGGGCGAGAACGGCGGTATCGTGCAGAACTTCGGAAAGATGGACCCCGTCCTCTTCCTCGAGATCTCTCTCACTGAGAACTGGCTCATCTTCATCACCCGTGCCAACGGCCCCTTCTGGTCGTCTATCCCATCGTGGCAATTGGCCGGCGCCATCCTGATCGTCGATGTGCTCGCCACATTCTTCACGCTCTTCGGCTGGTTCGTGGGCGGACAGACGTCCATCGTCGCCGTCGTCCGTATCTGGATCTTCTCCTTTGGTGTCTTCTGCATCATGGGCGGACTCTACTACCTCCTCCAGGACTCGAGCGGATTCGACAACCTCATGCACGGCAAGTCGCCGAAGAAGAACGCGAAGCAACGTTCCCTCGAGGACTTTGGTAAGTTTATTCCCCCATCCCGTGGTGGTGGTTTTGGTGATGAAACGCTTGCCGTTTTGAGAATCTTGGAACATCAGCTAACCACACGCGTCTCACAGTCGTCTCCCTCCAGCGCGTCTCGACTCAACACGAGAAGACCGTCTAATCCGACACCGTCTCGACATAAACGTCATTTTTCCTTCGACTCATTTTCTTTCCTTACCTCAACTTCCCTTCTTTTTTGCACACACCATCCCCCTGGCGCCCAATTCAAACGGAATGCAGAAACCTTTCCTCTTTTTATAGATGTAGATGGAGATGGCGAATTTTTATATAAAGCCCTCCAGCAGTTCCGGAATTTAATTTTATAAAAAAAATAAAAGATGCCGACAGACACCGACACCGACGCCTCGAAAAACCTCTCCTCCCCTTCGATTCAGGAGGGAGGGGATTGCAAAGTTACAAATACACTATACAGCCTTTTTCTTTTGCAACTTTTTTTTTGTCAGGAAGGAAGGATGGATGGAAGGGGGAGAGGTGGATGAGTGGTCGGCCGAGGTGTGGACAGGGCTGGCTTTATACTGCCATCTCCCTTCTTCATCTCGTTGAACCATGAGAGAGAGGGAAAGGGTGGGTAAAGGTAGATCTGCAGACTTTTGATTGTTTTGGGAATATTGGTGCATGGAGAGAGGGCGAGATTAGAAGGGGGGGGGATAGAGTTGATAGAGATGGGGGGTTTATGGATGGATGGGACGGTTGGGTTGTTCTTTTAGGGGTTGGGTTTGGTGTGGGGGGGGTTGTATGTTTTTATATAATAATTGCAGGGTCTTTTTTTGAGTGATTTTTGTTTTTGTTTTTGATTGACGGTTTGAAAGTTGTTTGTGCTTGATATGATTTGCTTTGATTTGCTTTCCTTGTTTGTGTTGGGGATTTGGTGGTTGTAGAAGGGGCGGGGGTTGTGGATTGTGAGAATGGGAGAAGGGGGGCGGGGAGGGGAGGGGGGAGTGTGTAATTAAGTGCAATAGAGAGGTCTGTGAGAAGTTACGTTCGTGCTATGCTGTCTGTGGTGAAATATGTCGCGACTCTCGCTGTTGATTTGCTGTAGTACTGTACCTAGCCCACAATCATTGTCCTAGTTTATCACATCTACATAACCCATGATATACATTGTCCATTGTCTAGTGTACACATGCATTATATTCTCCCTTCCACACAGTACCCAAGCCGCCGGAACCTCAGAAACCAGGAAGGTGGTATCTATAGAACTACCGCGGATAGAGAGTAACCAGCCCGCGTGCAGGACGTCGTGGTAATCCTCACCCACACTGTCCAGGTTGCTCATTGACATAGCGAGGGCGGCGGCTGAGAGCTCGATGGCTTTGACGGGTATGCAATCCTCTTCAGTTTTGCGGTCGGGAATGCGGAGCTGGGTTTGAGCAGGCGGGCATATCGCATCTCGTTTAGCACCGTGCTGTGCTCTCGTTCTGCGTGACGAGAGTGCCGCGGTGCTCTGCCTTGGGGATGGACTCGACGTGTTTAATGGCGGCGCGGTACTTTGCTGCCAGGTCGTCCATGGAAATTGGGAGTAGGGCGTTTCGCACCTTGGTCTCCGGGCGGACGAGGCTGAGGAGACGATATATAAAGTCGTGTACATACACAATGATACGTTCATGAGGGATAGTGTGATGCCATCCCAGTTGTGCGATTGTTTTTGCCAAAGCACGGGCAGGATTCTGCGATCTATCGCTGGTAGGCCGTACCCCCTCGATTCTAGGTGCTGAACTTTAATCCGCTCGAGAATGTCGGGTTTGTTTACGGGTAATATATTAAAGCTTTTGGGTAAGAACATGGTCGAGTTCAGGAAAACCTGTAGCTGGGGGGTTCGGCATTGCTGTATTTGATATTAGTAGTTTCTCTAAATAATCATGAGGAGTTCGAACGTTTCTCATGTCCATTACCATTTTCATTTTCGTCTTTCCCACTTTCGTTTTCAAAGGCGACACTTGTTGCACTATCATCATCGTCATCGTCATCGTCGCCATCGCCACTCTCAGCGCCCTTGTCGTTGTCGAACTTATAAATGTGCCCCTTCGTTCTAATCTCTTCTACAAATAGATCACATCGATTCACCATTATCGTTGGCAATCGGAGGCGGTGATCCTGTTGAAAGATCTCATCTTGATAATCGAGGTCTAAGGCGAGCTTGGACAGATCCCTAAACTTCGCTCCAACTCCCTCAAGGTAATCTCTCTGTTGCTGAGGTGTCTCGCGCTCTGTGGCAATCATAGCCAGCTGTTTCTTAGCCTGGACTAAGTCTTTCTCGAGTTGGATTTTGATCTTGGGGAACTCTCTTTTGACAATGTCGGTCAACAGGTGTGTTAGTCGTTTTTTCAGTTCGTCGACTCCAACCCGATTCCTTGGAAGTGCTAACCAAGGCGTCTTGTTGAAGAATCCCTGCTCGATAGTTCCACGAGAGATGGAGTCTTTCTGAGCATCTAATTCTTTCTGTGAAAGATTGCGAAGCACATGGTATCCAAGTGTAAGTTTGTGCTACTTGCCATTTACGAGATCAAAAACTCTCCCTTCCTCTCCATCACCAACCATATCGGGCTTTGTTAAGCTAATAAAAATTGTTAAGGATGTTCTGGGATCTGAGTAGACCATACTTACATGCCTAATGCCCGAAGACCCTTCGGATCCGCTTCTTTGGCTATCTAACATAGTGTTAGCATAGTTGAATTTCTAGCACATAGCATCCTTGCCCTACTTACTGAAAGGATTTCTTGGGTGGCGACGTCAGTATTTATGCAATGAAGTCCCGTCCGTTGTAGTTCTGAAGATTCCCTGGAATATCGAAAATGCTCAAGTTGTCACGGCCTGGACCACAAAGCTCTACCTTGAAGACGTCTTCACTAAATGTAGGCTTCCTCGTACTACCATCGAGATCGAACGGCTCTTCTGGTTTAGTTGTGGTTGGCGACCAATCGAGCGGCAAGAGCTCCGTGCTAGAAGCAGTGATGGAATTGCTGCTTCCTCGAAGTGGCACGCTTTGCACGAGGTTTGCTACTAATATTACCTTTTCGAAGTTCCTCAGAACCAAGCATTACCGCCTCAATCATCCCTGGTCCGTCAAGGTCCACGGGCAAAAAGACGCAATTGCAGATTTTAAGAGACAGTTGACTGCGCTTGGTGGGGATACCTTGTTATCTGTTTTGAACGAGGTTAGTGCCTAGAACTCCTGGATACAAAAATATCCATAACAATCCCTAGGCTTGTGAACGCTATGGGTGTTCCGCTGAGGAAGAGATACAAACTCATGAATTCCCAAGTCTGGAAGCTAGTCGATTTTTAGCAAGAGATCTTGGTCCGAGAGCTGGGCATGGACTCCATTGGTTGATTGGTTCCATCTGCGGAATTGCGTCAAAATACACTGTGTTCGAACGGCTGGAGTCTCCCGTGGTAGGTAGTATAATGATTATATGACGTTTCAAGGTTTTAGGACCAACAGTGGAAAACTAATGGGTGCAAAATGCCGTCTGAAGGGAGTGTGGTCTTGTATTCACTAGTTGCAGAGGATTAGGGTATGAGCTGAAGTGTTTTGTATGTATAAACAAGGCATCTCGATGGGAACAGACACATTGGCAGCGTCTTATACTACTCTAGACCTCACCCTCGGATTTACAACTTCAAACATTCCAAAACCTCGCGCGTACTCCGTACATCAGGGCACATGAAGGGATAAGTTACACTTCGGGCATCGACGCTACTAGTCACGCTAGAGCAGTAAGTTCTGGATTCGGTCCCATCGCCGTCCCTGGTCACGGCATTAGCCGCAGCCTTGCACGTAATATTACAAGACGAATAAAAGATTTCTTACGGAGTACTACAGCGCGTAAATAATAGCTAGACCTTGCCAAAGACTCAGCCCCAGCCCCAGCCAATGACCAGGAAGCGAAATGAGCAAGGACCCCTACTACAAGTCAGCGTTCCCTCACTAATCGATGAAGACCGTGGTTGTTTCACAATTTCTCTTTATCCAATATCCTCGTAGTGCGATTTTGTTTCTAGAACTTTACGATATAAAGTCGAGTCTTGTTACATAATGAGTATGCTTCTGAACAGTGTTGCTAGCAGTTCAAGCAGTTCAAGCAGTTCAAGCAGTTCAAGCAGTTCAAGCAGTTCAAGCAGTTCAAGCAGTTCAAGCAGTTCAACCAGTTCAAGCAGTTCAAGCAGTTCAACCAGTTCAACCAGTTCAACCAGTTCAACCAGTTCAACCAGTTCAAGCAGTTCAAGCAGTTCAAGCAGTTCAACCAGTTCAACCAGTTCAACCAGTTCAACCAGTTCAACCAGTTCAACCAGTTCAAGCAGTTCAAGCAGTTCAAGCAGTTCAACCAGTTCAACCAGTTCAACCAGTTCAACCAGTTCAACCAGTTCAACCAGTTCAACCAGTTCAACCAGTTCAACCAGTTCAGTTCAGTTCGAATTTGAGGCTGAACTGAACGCCCTCCGTGATATCTTTACAACATCATCCGTTATTCTCTTATCGTATACCATCTCATCATTACAGCTATCAAATATGCCACTACGACCTTCGTCCAAGGCGTGTACTATAACCATCAGACCAGCTAATCAAGTGTCTCCAAAGTCGCTTTCATCACACTTTAACAGCCTTGATATGTTCTCCGGGCTGAAACCCTCTAGTGGGGATTTGCGAGATGGGAGGTAAAATAGGTAAAAACGAGTCGCAGATCTGGGAAAAATCCGTGCGCAATGTTGATTAGTCATCCGCTAACCTGGCTGCGACTTCTGTCGTCTGCATACAAAGCCAACGGTCAGCCTTCTTGCGGGAACGGAACCCTCTTCCGCCCTGAGACGTGCGAAAACAGGATATTCGGCCCTCTACAACAAACATTTTACCTGCCCACCGCCTCGTCATTTCCCGCCCCTACCCCCCGTACGAAGCGATGATACAAAAGTTTCCTTGCCGTCCCTACCCCGGATTATAAACGCTGCGCCTTATCGGCAAAGCCTCCGCGTATCGGCGCCGAAATCCCAAGTTCACAGGAGACGGACGGGCCGCTTTGACTCGGCGAGATAGCGGGAATGATGCCCGATCAACCATTTCCTGAATACCAGGCCGGCCCTGAAATACCTCCGTCCCTCGACGACATGTTGAATCTCGACGTCGAGCCTATGTTCCCAGAGTTTTGGGACATTCAGGATACCCCACCATTCAGCCAGGAAGAAGGCCTCGACCAAGCGCCATTGCCATGGAGCGGTCCTCCGATGGGCGTGGGCGCGCCCATGCAGCCTAACGTCGAGTCACTGCACCAGCCGAGTATAGGGACTTTGTCGGTAGCGCAACAAGAGCTGCTGCGCAGCATCGCGATGCCGCCTCACCTCCAATATCCCAGCGCACGAGAAAGCAGGAGTCCTCACTCGGCCACCAGCAGACGCCAAAGCGCATCGGTGACAATGTCATCACCAGACCACCAGGGCCGAACGAGAAAACGAAAGTCGTCTACGGAGGGGAATGAGGAGGATCACTCGGGCGATGAGACCGGCCAGCGACCAGTCAAGAAGACGGCGCATAATATGATCGAGAAGCGGTATCGCACGAACTTGAACGACAAGATCTTGGCTCTACGCGACAGTGTCCCGAGTTTACGCGTCATGACGAAGAGTGCGCGAGGAAGTGACGGGAGCACGGAGGTTGAAGATCTCGAGGGGCTCATACCCGCACACAAGCTGAATAAGGTCAGTGGACAGGAGCGATACACCGCGAAAGTTAGCTAATGTGACAAAGGCAACCGTATTATCAAAGGCAACGGAGTATATTTGGCATCTCGAAAAGCGATCGAAGCGCCTCGCAGAAGAGAACGAGTCTATGAAGGCCCGCGTGGCCGCGTTTGAGAAACTATTCCTCTCGGGTTCGATGGGCTTCAATATGACACCCAACCCGACACCGCCTCCGAACAACCAATTCAACTTTGAAGAACAAATGCGATTCACAAGCGGCCACGGACCAATGAGCGCACAAATGCCGAACGGACAGATGCCCAGCGCACAAATGTCGAATCGACAACTCCCCAACGGACAACTTGCTTCAAATCGCTTCCACGGTGTTGTTGTTGGACCTCCACAAGACTTCAGAAGAGCGCATCGCCCTCCACCCATAAACCAGCAAGCGTATCAAATCCACTCAGAGCCACAACCCCTACCAAACCGGGCGCATGGTGGCACCAACGCATGGGGAGGCAACGGAGCCTACTTCGGCAAGATAATGGTCGGCTCCCTCGCCGGCCTAATGATCCTCGACAACTTCAGCGAATCTCACTCATCATCCGGCCCCTCCGAATCCAGAGGCCTCTTCGCCATCCCAACCCAACTCCTCGGTAACGCCTCCAAATTCATCAAATCATCCAGCGAAGTCAACATCCTCGGCCACCACTCCTCCTCCGCCCAAACCCTCTCCTACCTCCGCCTCCTCCTCCTCCTCGGCGCCTTCCTCTCCGTCTTCCTCCCCTCTTTCTTCCGCCCCGCACCCCCACCCCCCTCCCCCAAAACAACCAACGCAACCCTCACCTCCCTCGCCCCCACCATCGCCTCCCCCCTCCGCCTCCGCCGCCGCGCCTTCCTCACAAGCCTCCAAACAATCTGGATCCCCGCCCCAACCTCCCTCCTCTCCCTCGCCGCCCTAGCCCTAAAACTCACAAAACTCACCCTCCTCACCCTCGTCGGCGCGCCCGCCTACGTCCTCATCACAGGCTCCTCCTCCCCTTCGGAAACTGCTCGCATAAAAGCTTGGTCTATAGCCCTAGACGCCCAGCTCGTCGGAGGCGATCCCCTCGTCTCTCGCGCCCGTTTAACGCTCACTTTACTCGCTTCCGCTACGCTTCCCGCTACACCAGCGCGGCTGATGCTGCAAGCGCTACACATCCGCATCCTCTTCCACTCCGCCCCTTTTCCCCTATCACACACCCTCGCCGCGCACCTCGCTCGAAATAAGTGGTCCGCAGCCTGCGCCCTCAAGCTCGTCACCGACGCCCTCCCCGCCACTTCCACAGACGTATCTGTGGAACCCCTGGCCCCACACCTCCTCGCTCTCCTCGCCCAACCCGCGAACGCCGTTTTCTCAGACGCAGCTATCAAGACAGCACACGCGTTGACGTATAACACCCCCCCCCTCCCCGCAGACGACCGCGCCATCCGCTCCCCCCTCGACGCACTATCCGCGACTTTCTCCACATTCAACCTGCACGCCGCGTTAGAATCGTCACTCCTCTCCTCCTCTTCGTCCTCGAAAACTCTCAGCGCAAAACTCTCCACCGCCCTCGCTACCGCGCCGCCGGGATCAACACCGCATCTCCGCGTCCTCGCCACTTTAGCGCTTTTCGCCCCCTCCTCTGCTGACCGGGGGGAGAACTTAGCACTCGCCCTAGCAGAAGCAGCGGCGCGTGATCCGCCGCCGGAGACTGGGCCATTGGCGCCGAAGGCGTTGCTTCTTCGGACGACGACGAGTGTGGTAGAAGGGGACGTACACCTCGCACTCGCGTGTGCGTCCACCCTACAGCATCTGGCGTATCCGTTGAGGGTGTTGGTGGATATTGAAGGCTTAGCGCGGCCGAACTCGCTACTCGGGTTCGCAGCGTGCTATGCTGTACTGCGCACGATGCAGGTTAAGGGTGGTGATGATGGAGCCATTGCTGGGAAGGCGATGGAAACACTCGCTGGAAACCTACGTGTCGGTATCGGTGGTCCGAGGGGCGAAGAAGTAGAGAAGAGTGTTAGAGAGGGGGTAGTGGGTGTTTGTGTCGGTGTGGTGAGGGCGTGTGTGGTGGTTGGTGGTGGTGGGGAGGAGGAGGTGGATGCGGGGTATGAGAGTACGAGTGATGAGTGATGAAGACGGGAATGGGAATGGGGGGTTATGTGTATATAACGGATGATGGGATGGATGGTAGATGATGGGTGATGAATGCATGGTAGACCTAATAGTAGATATCTAAAAAGACTTATATAATTTTCATCACACCCGCCCACTAAACCCACCACCACAGTGACAGTGACTCCCCCCCTGCCCTCCAAGCTACAAGACCGTCTATCGTCTTATCATAGAGCCAACACACCTTCTCAAATCCCAGCACCAGCGGCGCCCCCTTCAACGGAATCCTTCAAAATACACACCTCCTGCGTCCGAGAAGCTTGCCGGGCAGCCGACCTCGTAACTCTCTTCCCTTCGTCCTGGGCTGGTTCTCACGTCTCTAACACAATTTTACGCTCATCTAGGTGTAAGATGACAATAACAGCAACCCTCACTTCCCCCTCAGATCTACCAACCCACCACCCCGCATCCCACCTCAACCCCTCCACCACCTCCCCAACCCCAACTAAGGTAACTAAACTCGGCCACCCATCTTTCCCCCTACCCCGCGGCTTATAAGACGAATCCGGCTCCCTCGACAACCCCCCCTCCTCACGCCTCGTCGCACCAGTAGGCAGTAATTCCTCCCAATCCGTCCTCATACCCCTAACCCTCGACAGAATCACTCAAGTAAACGGTGCGAAGATTCCAGTCTCGCCGTGCCCATCACTTTGACTACCATTTCTTCCTTACCAGAATCGTAGGTGAGGCGCGCTCCTCTACCGTTAGTAGAGGAGATCTAAACTTCTAACTTGTCTAGTTCCTAGCAGACAAGTATGGCAATTAGTAAGTAGCATAGCAACAGCAAAGTATGCTGCAACTAGCTGCCTATTAGCCTTTAGTCTTGCTAAAGGCTGTATAGGTCCAAAGGACCTAAGCATGCCTTTAGGAATGCTTAACAGCAATCTAGACAGAAGAGAGACTTCGGTTGAAGGCTCTCTTGTTCGGCGATAGGAGATGCTAGCTGACATGGTGCGTCTACAGTAGAATTACCCTATAAGCTACCTAATATACAGGATTGCTATATACAACAAGTAAGGGGCAATCCCTAATTAGTTTCTAAAGAGGGGCCTCTAACTTAGAGATCCGCTACATCTTCTAGTCATTTACTAGTCTAACAAATGGACTAGTAAGAGACTAGATGATACCGTTAGTCCTACGACAGCTTGCTACTTCTAGCCATGCTATTAAGTGTGGCTAGAGTAGACAGCAGAACCCCTAAAAGGTCCCATCTACAAAACCCTAGATGCTCTCCCCTCCTCCTTGTGCCTTAACAGTAGCAGCAAACCCCTTAAGCCAACTATAAGTTACAAGGGGTGCTATGTAAGGTGATCCTAAATTAACAGTACAAGAAGAGTACCATGTCATTAAAGATGGTAGATAACCAGCTTATAGAGCATCTAAAAAGCTTAACATAAGCTGTCTACTATCTAGGATATACAAGCCTTGTAAGGACAATGTAGAGGGCTGTTTTAGGGGAGGGGCAAACTCTATGTTACTAGACTACCTCATTAAGGCAAAGGAGGGAGGATCTAGTGGATCTTGTCATATAAAGCTTGTAGATAGTTAGTAATGTGATATAATAAAGGGAGGGGGGAACTTACTAGAGGATTTGCCGAGTTTTGGCTAAGCCCTAAGAATTAGGGTCAAACTTAAACTGCTTATATTCATAAGTAGTTTAGCGTCATTGCCCTTCCTAGCACTGTTGTTAGTAGTAGTACACTGCTATAGCAACAGCCATAAGGGCAACGATATCATCTCCTCTATAAGGAAGGGTGGTAAGGGCAAGGAGGCTAGGTAGTATTTGTAGTTGTGGTAATAATACTGAAATTATCACTTTCACTAATTGCTAGACTAGCTTGCCTAACAGTCACCTAATTCTAGGAAATTACAGGGTGCTAGTCTACTCTAGGCTTAGGCGATTACCCTAGACTAGCTCTAAGTGTTACAGCTATGGTAACGTGATGTCATGGTTATATAGCTAGTAGGGCTAGGCTCTAGTAACATGACTCATTGTCACAAGGCTAGCAGGGCTAGGCTGTAGCGTGACCTAGCTAGTAGATAGTTAGATAGTTAGGATAGTTAGAACTATCCAACTATCTAAACTATCTAGTAAGTATCTGAACTATCTATAAGGCACAACGCTACTATATAAGTAGATAGTATTCCCTTAGATAGGAGCTTCGTGCTCAACTTAATATAGTATTCTTTACAATACTATAACGTGTTACTTGGAAAGCCTTTGTGTTTAATCCCCTGCCTCCTCTGTCAAGTCAACCTTACATAAGAAACCTCTGTGTCTTCTATCGTTTAGAAGTCAGCGTTACAGTACTCCTAAAACAGCTTTAGAAAGTCGCAAATTAAGCTCTTGAGCCTTAATACTCTTACATTAGACCATTCTAGTATGGTGTAATGGTGGGTGCACCAGATGTGAGAATCTAGCCACCCAGGGGAAGGGATGATTTTACTAAGACAACACACTGTTTAGGAAACAGAGCCAAAGGGTTGTAGCTTAGACTATTCCACAACGCAGCAATCAAGTGTATGATGTAGTGGAGTGGTTTAGACAAGTTGTAACAAATGTTGAGTCTGAGAATTCAGGGATAAGTCAGAGGTTAGCACCTCACTGACTTTTTAGAAACAAGGAGTAACAAGATCAATGCTTGGAAGCTTGGAAAAGACGTGGAAGTATGTGATAGTCGATTTACTATATTGCCTGCTTGCCCTTTCTTAAGGAAAGGGCAATCCTATTTATGCTAAAGGAGTGTAGTTCTCTCATTTTCCAAGACTTTCCATGACTAGCCACGCTTGGTAACTGTAGTCGACATAAGAGAATCCCATAGAACCATCTCCAAGGTTCCTAGCCTATAGGAAGTGAAAGGAGGTCCAAGGTCAAAGTACCCCTATAGACAGATTATGTCATAACTTAACCAATCTTGTGGGTAACTAAGGAGCGATGACGTGTAATGAATCATAGACGGTTGTAGAAGCTTTGGAGCTATCGTTCATGTTTCTAGGCCTCTAGTTGATAGAGATATGTCATGTGTAGTATTAGCCCAGTAACTAAGGAGTGATGTCATGTAATGAATCATAGAGGGTTGTAGAGATATGCTATGTTGTTATATTGGCCCAGTAACTAAGGAGCAATGACGTGTAATGAATCATAGAGGGTTGTAGCAATCATTGAGTAGTATTGCTCTTGTTGTTGGTGTGACAAGCCAAAATATGTATAGTGACTTGTAGGTTTGAGGAGGAGATTTCTAAGTTTGCTCTTGAGTTTGATAGCAAACTAAGTGCAACGAATGTCAGTATGACACTAGCTACCGAATACTATGAGAAATTAGAGAGCTAACAAGTAGCAGATATGCACCTAGCTACCGAATACTATGAGAAATTAATTAAGAGGTTTGAGCAGACCATTTCTAGGTTTTTAATTTACACAACTAACTTCACAATCAACTTCACGAACAATTTCAACCTATACCACACCTTCTATTAGGACAAGATTAGGTTCTATGCTTTATTAAATGACATCTACATCTATAAGTATGACTAGGAAGATGAATTAAAGTGCAAAGGATAAGTGGAGTTATAAAACAAGTTATATAAGGGTGGTTTGATGCATATAAGGACCTTATTGTAATGGTGGGTGCACCAGATGTGAGAATCTAGCCACCCAAGGAAGGGATGAATTTACCAAGACAACACACTGTCTTAGAAAACAGAGCCAAAGGGTCGTAGCTTAGACTATTCCACAACGCAGCAATCAGGTGTGTGATGTAGTGAAGTGGTTCAGACAAGTTGCAACAAATGTTGAGTCTGGGAACTCAGGGGTAAGTCAGAGGTTAACACCTCACTGACTTTTCAGAAACAAGGAGGTCCAAGGTCAGAGTACCCCTATAGACAAATTATGTCATAGACAAATTATGTCATAGACAAATTATGTCATAGACAAATTATGTCATAGACAAATTATGTCATAGACAAATTATGTCATAACTTAAGCAATCTTGTGGGTAACTAAAGAGCGATGACATGTAATAAATCATAGAGGTTCGTAGGAGCTTTTAGAGCTATCGTTCATGCTCCTAGGCCTCTAGTTGGTAGAGATATGTCATGTGGTAGTATGAGTGATGTCATGTAATGAATCATAGAGGGTTTAAAGATATGCTATGTGGTAATATCGGCCCAGTAACTAAGGAGCGATGACGTGTAATGAATCATAGATGGTTGTAGCAATCGTTGAGTAGTATTGCTCTTGTTGTTGGTGTGATAAGCCAAAATATGTATAGTGACTTGTAGGTTTGAGGAGGAGATTTCCAAGTTTGCTCTTGAGTTTGATAGCAAACTGAGTGCAACGAATGTCAGTATGACACTTATAATGCGTCTAGAAATCAAAAAATAGATGAGACAGGATTCTTAATTAGAACAATAGAATCTACATGGATTATTGGTAGCTCTACACTTCGTACACGTCATCAAGCACATAAGGTCGACAAGAATGGGTTTCTACAGTCGAGTGTATTTGCATAGACGGCACAACTATTAAACCTCTTATTGTATTCAAAGCTAAAATGTACTATAGAGTTGGATTTCACAAGATGTGATAAATAAGTGGCACTTCTCTGCAAATTCAAAAGGATGGACAAGCAATTTACATAGACTTAAGTGGCTTAAGCGTGTATTTGAGCCTATAATGCGTACAAAAGCGAATGGAGGACAACAACAACAGCTTCTTATTTGCAACAGCCATGACAGTTATATAAGTGGGAATTTCATTTCTTACTGTAACGTGCATGTATAACGAAAGTGCCAAACAAGCGAAAGTGCCAAAATATCGCGACTACCCCATAAGAATTGCGATAAATCCACCACAACAATATAAATTAATTAAAACTACTCGGAGTCCTCTTCCTCAGACCTGTCTATTACAATCTGACAAGTGCGCGCATTGTGTCCAGTCTCACCACACTTGCCACAGCGACGTGCATGGGTTTCTTCCCTTGGCTTCCGACCACTACTTGCCCTTATTTCTTGCTCTACTTGCTGCACAACGTCCCTCTCGTCCTGTAGCTCCTGTGCTACCTGTTGACTAAGTGATCCTCCTTGCTGTAGTCGTGTTTTTTTAGCTCTCTGGCGCTTGCTTAGCACTTCATTTGCCTGTCGCAGGTTTTGGTTCTCTGCTTTTAACAATGCTAATTGATGCATTATTTGCGATGCACCCTTTGTAAACTGGTCAACAGCTGCATAGATTGAGGTTGGAGAGCTATTTTGATGATGCGCAATTCAGTTTTTAATGAAAGTAGACTGTGATACAGCTTCAGTTGGGTTATTTGGTGTCTGAGAAACCCATGGTTGAGCGGTGTTTGGGTGAGAGGTTGGAGGTGTTGGCGTCTTAAACCTAAGGTCAAGTGTAGATATTACACTCTCAGGGCTAAATGGAAGAAGCCCAGCACCTCGGAACCCTCCCTGAATATTGCTTTCTGTCATTGCAATGTTAAATGCAGCGTGGAAGGCAGGAAAGAAGTCATCCTTAGTAATGTGAATAATATGAGCCCGCATTATATCTTCAATTTGCCGACTGTAAGCTCTCTTTAATGGGCCAAAACAGCCAACATCAAGTGGTTGGAGTATATGGGAAGAGTGAGCAGGCATACAAAGCGTAATAATGTTGTGTTCTTTGCAGTACTCCTCAAACTTGTCTGAGTGGTGGCTCTCATGACCATCAAGGACTAACAAGCGATAACCACCAACACTCCGGGGCTTTGTGTGCTTCTCAAAATGCTGAATCCAACCCATACCTCTCTCGTTTGTAGTCCAGCCATTTGCAGTAACAGCGATTACCCAATCTGCTGGAAATCCGCTATTCTCATACCAAGATGCAAGGTGGTTTTTACCTGCCACAATGACAAATGGCGGCACTGCCCAACCTTGAGAACTAACGCCTTGGATTACTGTAACCCATTCCCGATTGCCAGGCTGCACCTTTTTTGCCTTTGCCCGCCCATCTGAGCTCGTTACTACCGTTGCGCTTGAGATGACGCCCATCATAAACCCAGTCTCATCAAAGTTGTAGATATCTGCATTGTTGATGCCATACTTTAGAATTGTGTTCCATACAAGCTCAAACCAGCCACGAATGACTTCTGGATCTTCGCACTTAGCCCTCTGGTAGTCGTATTTTCGCTGGAAGCGTGTCCGGAGCTCTACATGGCGCTTAACAAAGTTTGAAGCCCAACGTGACCCGACGCGTGGCGCGTCGCGTGTTGCAAGTAGTCGATTTGCCATATCTTCAACAATAGACAACTGAGGAGGGAACCCTTTAGCAGCTAAGTCAAGTATATACTGAACAAGAACTGATTCCTCTAGGTTACTTAATTTCCATAAGTTGGCTTGGATATCGCGTCGTGAAGGTACACCTTGTAAACGGTGACGTAGCTTGCGGTGGTCTACGGAATAGATCCTAGCTGCAACTCGAAGGCGCAAATTTGGGTCGCTTTGCATAGCTTGGATAGCTAGCACTAATTTGCTTTCATCATTTTTATGGCGCATGTTTTGTTGTGGAGGAATTTAACATTTAGTTGGGGGGGTTGGTCACCGCATGATTTTGGCACTTTCGCTTGTTTGGCACTTTCGTTATACATGCACGTTACTTTAAGAAGTTATTAAAGTTGAACAACGCCTTAAACACCAAAACAACGTGATATTTTTGATTTGTCTTTTAAAATAGTAGTCCACCTGACTTTACAACACTACGGAAAGCAAATACAGTACTCTCTACTATTCTTAAAGCCCGTACAGTGTTAAACACACCTACAAAGCGATATATTCAAAAGTTAGCAGATGCAACATAGCGACTAAATACACGCAATTTTCTATAACAACGTGATACTAACAATCTACGATCATTTTAAAGGGTCATTTTCATATTTCTACGAGGGAATTGCAGCTACAGGTCGTTGAAGCAGAGGAGGCTACTCGACAGAAGTTAATAGCAACAGGTAGTACACTACAAACAATGCTATAATTGAGCAAGGAGATGAAGAATCTATCGAAAAGGACCTGGGAGAAGTATCTAATTGTATTTTAATTGAGGATTAGAGTATATATAATTTTATTTTTGTTGTTGTTCACGATGTTCCAACCCTACTACCGCCAGTACGCCAGGTTTTGACGGGGTGGCCACCATGTAAGTTACGCGACTCTGTCGGTTACACCACCACCTACGTTAACTTAACTAACTTATTCGAAACTCACGACGTTGAGAACATGCGTCCGAAACATGACGACTTCTCCGCCACCACCCAAATACACCCAATACCAGGGCCGCCGGTCCGTGAGAGAAACCAGGGATCGCCCCTCTGGCACAGTGTCGGCGCATCTCATGTCTGAGCCCTCTGTTCCGTAACCTGCCAGGTTTCCCCAGTGAGTGAAAAGTTGTCATGGCTAGGCCTGGTAAGCCACCATGTATTATGGTGTTGTTGTGTGGAGAGGTCATGTTCCGAGCCAAGTTGAAGCTACTGGCTTCTCTCGAACTCTGGACCCTACTCTTTCTTTAGCCTCGTCACAGCTCAAGTCTTCCATCTGGAATCCTCATCTCATCGTCGCTCTTGTTGTTGACGCTGGCGCTCATCAATCATGACTGGGTGGTTGTAGCACGCGACATGCCAGTTGTGACGCCTTACATTCTTGCTACCCATAGACTATAGACTGGGCTTTTGTTCTCTTTTGATCCCTTCTTCCTTTCAGTCTGCGGCATAATGGCTATCTCAGACAGCATCCAGACACTGTCTGCTGCATTTTCATTGTCGGTATCTCCAAATTGGGTTTGTCTCTCCACTACTAACCATCGTACAGTGGTATACTATTTCAAACCGCAGTCTCTTCATTTGTTATTTATCTTAGCGGTCATGGCTCAACTATATTCCAAGACCGTCGGAGGCTGGTCCTCATAACGTTCATTCTATCCTCTGCTCTGTGGGCGCAGATTGGATTTCTTAATTTCTTGATACCCTCCAGGAGCTCGAATATATGTCAAGGGACTATTGCAACATCGACTTTCTTCGACCAAGCCGCACGAACGCTGAGCGGATCCTTTCTCCTCTGGACTGTTGCGCATGTGTCCAAGTCGTCTACCGAGAAATATGGCCTCGGGTCTCTAATCGGGGCGAGGGCGGTTAGTGGTATTGTGTTTGTTGTGTTTACAAGACCACAATATGCACCATTGTGCGTGCCACGTTCTGAGGCGTTGCCAGTATCGACTCTCGTCATCGGTCTAGATGCCATCATACTCGGCCTCGTGGCGATACGACTCTTCACCTTGGGGTTCTGGGGCAGCAGCAACGGAATACAGTCGACATCGAACAAGGAACAGGGCAAAGCTCTCGCCCTCTTCACAGCTGGATTTGCTATTTGGACTGGAACGAGCGTGACTCTGCACCTTGGGCTTTCCTCCATCATACTATTGCTACGCACTGCCATTCCTGCCACCGGCCTTGGTATTCTCCTGACTATCGCAGCGATATGGTCCGAAGCATTGCTATCGCCGCGCGAAGCCGAAGTTGGGACTACAGAATCACAGTCCCCGTTCATCGCCCCGCCACGCCCCCGATTCAACGAGACCAGCACTGGCGATGGCCCCCCAAGGTCTGGTACTAGAATGGCCACCAATGGACGACTGTTCGTTGTGAACCCATGGAGCACTCCCGGTGATTCGCCACAGCTACAAAGTTATCGGGATGGGCCACAGTCAAATTTCGGGAATATTATGGTCAATAATCGATCTGTCGATATTGCTACCGGAGTCTTGTCAGCAGACTCCCCCACCGAACGAGGCTCGCTTGGGACTTCCACCAGTATTATGGGCGGTGTGACTACTACCATATCAGCCCCACTTCCTCTCATTCCGTCAATTCAAGGATCGAGGCCTATTTGGGACGGCGAGGACCCGGATGCGAAACAGAAGCGATCTTTCTTCAGCCGCTCCAAACAGTCTGCGCAATCTGGCCCGAGGAAACTTGCAATCTCTCAGCCTATATTGATTAACACGGATGAACCTTCCGGCTCACCCTTAAGAATGCAGACCGTGGATCTTGCTACGGCAGCAGCTAACGAACGAGCTCGGCGTGAAGAAGCGGTCACTCGACGGATGCTCGTGGCCACTCGCCCCGCCCCTGCACCACCGACTGGTGTAGATCCTTCCGAAGCCTTGAAGAGGAGCATCAGTACCGTCCGCAAGAAGCCCTTTGGAAACTGTCAAGACTTGAAATACCAGACCTCTCAAAGCTCCGTGAGCTCGAATGGAAGTTCTAGTTCTTCAAGCCTGTCTCCCGGCGTTAAAGATGTACGGAAGAGATCCCCACGCCAGCTGAATGGGTTTGACATAGACGAGAAGAGGCAATACTACAAGCCTGCCATTACCAACACCTTGCCATCGAATCCAAAGATGAAGGACTTCCAACCCGCGCCTGAAAAGCGACAAACGATCATGTTCATGAAAGACATCGTCTACGATGATCCAGGACTGGTTGACTCGATCATCAACGAGGTGCCGAATTTTTCAAGGAAACCTAAAGCTCCCATGAACAGATCGAAATCCGTCGGGCTCGCCGCAAAACCTTCAATCTTGCATCGGGCAAGCCCATACAAGAAGACAAGAGGCTCGGAGGGCGTATTCTTTTCAAGTGAGCCTTCGTCGAACCATAGACGCAACAGATCTAGCTCATCGGTCTTGCGAGCTCCCCGTATTGGAAACCCCACTTCGCTGCCACCGCTACCAGCGCCGCCTGCAGATCTTGCTCAGATGCGTGGACTGTTGAAGGATCACATTCACAACATGACAAATGACGAAAAGGTTTCGATGCTCTTTCCGATGCCTCCAGTTGGTACTTTTAAATCGCAACGTCGATCATCTGTTCCGTCGCTACCCAGCAGCGTGTCTATGTTGTCTATGTCTACCGCCGATGGGCCTGAAGTAATAAGCAAAGACGAATTCGCCAGCCATAGATCGTCAAGAAGATCAACTATCATTTCCATATTACCTGTCGAAACAAAGGGCAACCTTTCCCCGAAAAAGCATACATGGCAACTCATACAACGAGATACATACAGGAGCACCTTCAACGCTACTGTTCCTGACGTAGGCAATGATGTACAAATCAGAAAGTCTAATATTCCGTTTAAGAAAATGTACTCCTCGTTTACAGAAACGACTGATAGCTCCGACGACGGCCATGTGGCCAGAGATGCCGACTGGTTGCATGAGCCATTACTTGCTCTCCCCAAGAGATACACCACTCAACGTGATTCGTCCTTGAGCACCGCAGATTCGCTCCTTCAAGACCACAAATTCATGTCGATAATGGTGGGATATGACCCTACCGAAGCCCCTACAACCAGGGCTCGCCCGACCTCATTCCTCCACGACTCATCGCAGACTTTCGGAACCGAAGGCTTCAAGACTCCCACCGTCAAAACTCCCACCACCGACACTTGGCACACACGTATCGGCGACGAAATCCCAGCGTTTTCGACTAGACAGAACCACTCCCGCTCTAAATCAGTGCCACCTACCCCTCTTATTCTACGAACATCAAAGAATAAGCCCTCGCTTGCCCAGAAGCCACTACGAGCTGTGGTGATAGATACGCCTAACCGGGCCTTGCAACAAATCCAGGCCCAGTTGAAGGAGCTCGAGGAGCCTGATATGCTACCTTTTATCCGCGATAAGTCGTCTATCCTTGGCGACGCTACCCAGGACCAGCGAGACGACCTTCTTGCTGAGATGGAAAAGGAGTTTGGCGAGCAGGAGAACAGATGGCAGCAACTTCATGAGACCATTGATCGTGGCTCTAAGAGCTCCGAGGTTTTCACTCCCTGGACTACGAGGCGCAACTCCGTTGCTTCTATAACTTCGGTCAATACCGCTTCTATCAAAGAAGCGAGAAAGGCTTGGGTGAGGAGTATTGTGGAGGCCGCCCAGAATATTGTTACTGTCACCAGCTCGCGAAATGGTGAGATTGCAAAGCGAGGGTTGTGGAAAGACAAGTTGGAGGAGGCTCAGAAGGCATATGCTAATAATGCGCCGTCATTCTCAAATTCGCTCTCAACAGCAAAGGTTGTCACCGCTAAGCAAGCTTCCATTAGAGCAGTAGTTGCTGGAGGCCGTGCTGTGGTTGCAATCCCATGCCCGAAACGCACAGGTAGACCTCATCTCTGGAAGCCTTGCCCTCTAAAGGCCGTAGAGGTAGTTGGCCTCATGTGGACTCTTTCTCAGCAGCCTACCCAGGTTCGCCCATCCTCGCCCGTGCCTGCCGCCTTATGTGTCAGACCAGCACAACGACGAACCATCGAACCTCTCTATCTCGAAAGCTTGTATATGTGGCACATGCCAACTCCTACCCGTGTCCGTCCGACGCCTGCACTCTGGCGCTCTAAGAACACACGACCGGCAAGTATCGTAACCCGCCCAAAGACCAAAAAGCCCATCGGGAAGTCCAGAGCAATGACATTTTTACCTGATATTGGTAAGTACTTATTTTCTTTTGATCGTCATCCTCTTATTATTTTACATACTAATTGATTTGTCACTAGTCGAAAGCCCTAGCCCACTACCACACAAAAGGGATACTTTAGGAATATTCCAGTTCCCGTGGGGGGAAAAGAGCGGCCAGGCGGTGCACCAACCCGCCTTGCCTACTATATCTAACCTCCCGCGTCCTATGATCCCGAACACACTCGGATCCAACGACTTTAATGAGGAGTACTCTTCGTCGTTCTTCGATGACTACGACGACCAAGATTACCACTCTGACTCTACCTCGCTCGATGCCGACACTCTCAGCGATGAGGCCAGCGACGATGGATTCAATGACTCTACCCTCTGGGAAATCGCCAATCTTCTAGATTCGTCCGAGGTCCCCAGCAGACATTGCCTGCAGATTAGAATTATTGAAGACTACGACGACTCTGACGGGTAACTATCCATAGGATAGTTACCCGGAGGCACTTGCTCTAACCCCTCTTGGAGGCACCCAGATTCAATTCCCAGCCCCTCCCACTTCTTCAGTCGAGCCAGAAGCATTCATTACAGACATTCGCCCGGATGGTAAATCTGCTTGGTGGGATGGGAAATCGCACCTACCAAGCGGCCCAAGAGACACCGTTGCCTTCAAGAAGAAGCAAGCTCTAAAGGCTACCGCTTCTAAAACCACTTATAACCTTTGGACACCGCCAAAAGCTAAGGTGACTGCCGTTTCGAGTGGGCTTTTCACTCTTGATGCCTCCAAGGATGTGAGACAAGTTACTACCCAAGAGCCCGGCAGCAATTGCCATGTTCACCAAACCCCGTCCAAACAGGGCGGCGCTGCCAATGATCTCCTCAACCAAGCTGTGGTCTGATAGCCGTCGCGCATCTGTTTTCACATTCGACTGGATGTCTGAGTCTACTGTCCGCCCCACGAGCCCCTCCATTGGCACTTCCTCGGGGAATACTTCTCCAGTAATGGCGACTGAGTCGGGCCGACTGAGTCGGGCGACTACTCGGTGAAGAGTGTCAGCACAGAGGCTTCTAGCCTTCAGAGCGAGCGACATGCCATTGCTATGGATGTGCCATTCATGCTAGTGGAATCGTTTTCGGCCAAGGAAATAAAGAAAACAAAGCCACGTTCAAGAGCAATGAACGCTGCGACACCGGAAGAGTGGGATGCCGCCTTGAAGGATGCGATCAAAGCATCTGCCATCCCGGCCAGAAAACTCGGGGCTACAAAGGAAATGTGTGGGCATGCGCTCGAGGAAGCTTTGCAAGCATCAGCCCAAAAGCCCGTCAAACCGGTTCAAAGCCCAACCAAGAAGAGCCTTTGGTCGACTGCAATTTCTCTTATAAGACCATCTGAGAAATCCGCACCTCTCTGGTCTGTACAAAAATCACAGGGTGCAAGTAAGGTAGCAAGCATTACTCCCGTCGCTGATCCGGCATTCAAGAGGGCATCGGTAAAGATATCCTCGGAGTTGCCAAAACTCGATTCTACAAGCCTATAATCGGTGACACAGCCGGTGGCTGCCACGGCTACGGTTCGTAGCTGGCTACACGAAGCTCCCCCAGTTTTTCAGATTCAGTTGGTTGTGACTCAATCTTTTCCCATCATGTGGGCGCCTCCCGCACAATCGCCATCGAGACCCACTTCTTCTCTCTCCGTCTAAAGATCTCTGGCAGCCTCGCGACCCTCAACAAGAACAACAAAATCCAAAAATGGTAATGAGTATTACTCCCATCATTAGCCCAGCATCCAAGAAGTCGTCGGCAAAGATATCTACGGAGCTGCCAAAACTCAATTCTACTACCCTGCGGTCGGCCACAGAGCCCGTGGCTGCTACCGCCACCGTGCGTAGCTGGCGACACGTATCCGCGATAGAGTCACCGGTCCAGCCAGCTGCGGCCCCTCAAGTTATCAACACCGGGCTATGGACGCCGCCGGCTCCAGCTCAACCCAAACCCGTTTCTTCGTCTAAGGGCCTTTGGGGGCCATCTACGTGCACTCTGGCGGAGCGTTCAGCACCAATTACGCTTTTTGACGAGCCGATCAGCGCGCCTTCACCTGCTACGGGCCGGAAATCCAAGACGGTCGATCTGGAGGAATTACCGGCGCTGGAGAGCTCGCGGCTTTGGAGCTTGGGGCCGGGCAACTTTGCCCAAGGAGGATGAGGTGAAGAAGGAGAGGGATTGGATCCGTGAGAGGAGGAGTAGCAAGGTCAACTTCAGGTACTAGTTGTTGGAGAAGACAACGGAGAAGACAAAGGAGAAGGAACATGTAGGAAAACCATTTAGCGCAGACAAAGGTTATAACAATTGTAAAAAAAAAACAATCTATAGTCACGGGAATTTCGTAAAATCATCAAATTTCAAGAAATGGCACAATTACAATTTATGCACTCACGAACAAAGTAATCGCTAGCTTTTAACGGGCTAATCCACGCACGACCATGCCTAAACAAGGCTTGCTGCACCTCGCTAGAGGACGTTAGCGACAATGGACGGTGAGGGGCACGCGACATTATTTGTCGGATGGAAAAGGGAACGTAAACTTGTCTGGTTGATATTGCTTTGTGGGGGTTTCTGCGATAACAACTCGTACTTTCCACCAACACCTATAAAGTACGCTTTTCGCTCCCTCGCCACTACCAGTTTTTGTTCCTCGATTATTCCTATATATTGGTTCTGCAATAGAGAGAAGGAGAGAGAGATAGATCCTACTTAACTTGTCACTTGTCTGAGTGAACCGAGCTTGTTGCGAGAGAGGCGAGTACGTGTACTCTACCTTGGCGATTCCCGACGTCCAACCTCCCAGGTTGCACGCTCCCTTGGCTGGCGATCGACCGTGGCATGAGTGACTGACACTTCTCCGTAAGACGACCGACCCTCTCAGTCCGCGCACCGGACACCGACACTCCACCATGGTGTCCCGCAAGCACAGCACCTCGACCGTGCGCTTCATCCCCCTCACCTACTCGCCCTCAGACTCTCAGTCCTCCGCCCTCCGCCTCATCCTCTCCGTTTTCCCCGACTGGGAGAAGACGGACGGGAAAATCGAATTCGTCCGCTTCACAGATGGCATCACAAACACCCTCCTCAAAGCAATAAATGTGCGCCCCGGCCTGTCCAAGCAGGAGATTGACGACAGCGCGGTGCTCCTTCGCGCTTTTGGGAAGGGCACAGACCTCATCATCGACCGTGAGCGCGAGACGCAGAATCATGAGCTACTGATGGGCCATGGGCTTGCGCCGCAACTGCTCGCCCGCTTCAACAACGGGATGGTGTACCGGTACATATCCGGATCTGTGACAGCGCCGGGTGATCTGAGGAACAAGGACGTGTACACGGCAGTTGCGAGGCGTCTCGCGCAGTGGCACGCCGTCGTGCCGTGTCTCCCCAACACGCGGGTGCCGGTGGAAGAGGTGGCTAGCGAGGCGATGGAGACGATGGTTCCTACGGAGCGGAGGGACCCGGAGGTGCAGCGGAAGATCGATGGTGTTGCGCCGGGGAAGGTGGCGCCGAATGTGTGGACGGTGACGCAGAAGTGGATTTATGCCTTACCGACTGCGACGGAGGCGCAGAGGGCACGTCAGGCGGAGTTGCAGGGGGAGTTGGAGCGGACGGTTGCGGAGTTGAGTGATAGGCCGGGGTTGGGGAAGAATAGTCTGGTGTTTGCGCATTGCGATTTGTTGAGTGGGAATGTGATTGTTGAGCCGACGGCGAAGGGGGAGGCGAATGGGGTGGCGGCGAAGGAGCCGGTTACGTCGGTGTCGTTTATCGATTACGAGTATGCGGTTCCGTCGCCGGCGGCTTTTGATATTGCGAACCACTTTGCGGAGTGGGGAGGGTTTGACTGCGATTTCAGCGTCTTGCCGACGCGTTCGCAGAGGCGCGATTTCATCCGCGAGTATGTTGCGAGCTACTTTGCGCACCTCAATGTTGCCAAGACCAGCGAGGAGTTGGAGAGTGAGGCACAGGCGCTGTTTGAGAGCGTGGACTTGTTCCGTGGCGTTCCCGGGTTGTACTGGGGCATCTGGGCTATCATCCAGTCGGTCATTTCACAGATCGATTTCGACTACGCATCTTACGCCGAGGTGAGGCTGGGAGAGTATTACGCTTGGAGGGGAGAGACGGAGGGGACAAGGGAGAAGAAGGGAGAGGAGATGCCGTTGCGGGAGAGGCGATGGGCGCAGGAAGAGTAGATGTGGTCTTGACTTACAAGGGGAAGGAGACGGGCCTACAGAGAAATGAGATAGATGAGAGAAGCGGCATAGATCTTTCGCACGAGGTGTATGTCTACAGCGCTGCATGATATTTTCGCGGCGTTATAATGGGCAAAGGGGCGAGAGATATCAACTTGTACGTCCTGCGTTTGGCGTTCTTAACACGGGCTTCAACAACCCAGGGAGGAAAAGAAGCGATTCTTTTTGATCAGCAGAGCGGTACGTACATGGTAGACAGAAGATTGTGGTGCTTATGGCTTTGTAGATTCGAATTTTAATATCAATCAATCCATGCTTCATACTGGATTTTGGAAATTGCCGCCATACGATGGGACAGTGCCTCCGCGCACGTGATATTATTCTGTTTGTGCGAAATATGCTTACATAAGGCGGCCTAGTTCCAAGCTCAAGGCGGTGGCAGAATACCTCCTACGAACAGACCTAGAAGGAGGGGTTATGACGTCTACCATCAAAAAGTTCAGCCAGTCCAGCCAGTCCAGTCCAATACCCATCAAAAAGCTATCTTCCCTATCTCATCTCGCCCTGGAATTCTTGGACGAGAACGTGGTTAGGCCGTTCCTCACAAGACTGGATCGGGACCATCCCATTGGAATCCATTGGAACCGGTACACCTGGACTTGGCTAAATATATGCTAAAGGTATGCTAAAGGTAGGGGATATAGGGGAATCTAATATACTGGATTGTGGGGAGGGGAAGCGCTGACGCGATCAATGCATCATCATTCCTGCTTGGAATCTGGATATATGAGACAGTCCCTTGGTAAGGCTTCACTTACCTTCCCTTGGTTACGTAGTCCACGAGGTGATGAATAACTAGCTGCCCTCTCTTACCTTACCATTTATTGCCATCCTTCCCGATATTATCATCCCCCTCTCTCACTACCCCTGGCCTCTCTTTTCTCCTTCCCAACATCCTTGACAACCCAAAAGCATCTGAAACGGTATTAATCATGGAGAAAATCAAGAGCATTTTGTGAGAATGATCCTACCCCTCTTCCCTATAGCTCTGCGCTGTCTAATGCGCTTCCCAGGAGTCCCGGCAAGCATGTCGAGGATGAGATCTTGTATGGGTCTGGTGGCGGCGGCCAATATGAGCATACTGGCCGCGAGGCACCAGGCTCGACAGGTGCTGGTTACTATGGTCAAACCAGTAGCCAACCTCAGATATACAACAGGGGGGGAGACCCCATCCCCAGCCAACCCTCAACCGCACAGGATTACGGTAAGACCGGAGATGAATACCTGGCAGCCGAGAAAGAACGGGCTGCGAAATCCAGGGTAGCGAGGGAGTCATCTACAACGGAGAAGAAAAACGGCCACCGCAAATCGCGATCTGGTGAGCACAAAGAGAGCCGCAACCCTTACACGCAGCAGGCTGTTGGTCCTCGGCTTGGAGAAGGCTCTGAAGAGTCCAAGATAGCAGCACGTAATGCTCAAGCTCAGGCCATAGGCGCTGGTTATTCCATTGCCCAGGGCAGCCAGGGTGCAGCTGCTGCTGGTCTTGTTGGCACGGCAGGCGCAGCAGGTGCAGCAGGTGCAGCAGGCACTTCGAAGAAAGGGGTCACAATGGTGCCCATGGAGACAGACTCACCCCATGGTGAAGTGGTAGGAAGAACAGTATCGGGTCACCACACGGTGGAACGAACAGCGTCCGGCCAGTACAGGACTCGCCTGGCGAGTATAATCGATCCAAACTATGGAGAAGGCGTTAAAACGTCGGAGAGCGCGTATGAACACACCCCCAGCGGCGGTGGCGCATATACAGCTGACAGATTTCATGAAAGAGAACCACGCGTTGCTAGCGTCGCCCTGCCTAATGGCACGAAATATATCGACCCAAAGGCGGCCGAGGATTATGGGCTGGGCTACAACCCCCCTACCGGTTCGGGCTACGGAGGCCAGGGACAGCCTCAGGTTGCGACGACGAAGTCTGAGGCTGACCACGCCGTTAGTGGTGACCAAACGGGCCACAAGGGTGCTGGGGTAGTGGGAGCTGGTGTTGCCGGTGCTGCTGTGGCAGATGCAGGTTATGAGGGCACAAAGACAGACAGGGCACAGCCTCGTGATGTCGATGACCCTGCATACAGGACGTCTCGGGTGCATGGCGTCGAGGAAACTACTACAACTCACAAAGCCGATAAATCCGCCAAGAAAGCTGCATCCAAGGCGGCTCCAGAAAGACTCGACGAATCTGCATACGCGGTTAAGCCCACAGCAGCCAGGTATGGTGATGTCGGCAACGACTATGGCAAGGGCGTGAAAGATCCTCGCTACGGTTTGCCTATAGCCGCTGCAGGAATCAGTGCTGAGGAGGCCGCGGCCATACGCAGGAATGAGGCCAATGTGGCCCGGCCCGCTGCACAGGGTCAAGCCTATACGGGCAGACCGACTACAGTGGAACAGGATTATGCCGCCCAGCCTGCGACGGCAAATCAAGCTTATGGCACCCAGCACGCTACACAGGCTGAGCAGCAAGCAGCCAAACATGCGGAGGAGAAGAAGCCCAGCCGCCGCTCCAGCATCTTAGGGTTCCTTCGTAAGTTCATCCATCTCCTATCCCAAATCAAGAACTAACACCCCCAGCCAGACCTAGGCAAAGACAAGAAAAAACACAGCAAAGACGCGCAGCGCCAACCATACACCGACCTCACCGGCCAAGCTCCCCTCGGCTCCGTAGCAGGTACCGGGTTCGGACAACAACAGTCGTTGGTACCGGGATCAACGGTTGGACATGGCCAGACTGCTGATCTGGCGTATCGCGATCGCATGCCTAGCACGGCTGATGTGCCGGCTTTCACTGGTGGGCTTGTGGGGCCTAATGGAACGCCATTGAGGGGTGCTTCTGCTGCCAACCCGGACTCGTCTGCTTGGGCAAAGTCTACCGAGAAGGAAGTTATGGATAGGGGTGGTATGGGACAAGGGGCTTATGGTAGTGGTGGTGGTGCTGCGACTAACCAGGCGGCATATGGTGACACTGGTGCGACCAACCAGGCTGCATATGACACTGGAATCGATGAGTCCTATGCTGCACCTACCGGCACTGGAGCTACTCAAGTTAGAGCGACTCAAAAGTCGGGCTCTCTTGGAGCAGCAACTACTGGCGGCGCCATCGTTGCTGGAGCCGCCGCGGGGGGTCTAGCTGCTGGTGGAGTGCGTGGTTCGCAAGCCCACGAGGGAGTAGCCTCAGACTACAACATGCAGAGCGCCCAAGACAAGGGCGCTCCAAATCAAGATCACCTCTACGACCAAGTCAGCCCACGCAGCTCCAAGGCGCAGCAGCAGACGAACTACAAGGAGACAAAGACCAACCACTCCAAGGAGACGACGAAGTCGAACCACAAATCCCACAATAAGGACAAGAACAATACTGCCTATGCTGGTAGTGATGACGCCCAGACTCGTGATGCTGAGTATGGTGGCTATGAGAATGATCCTCGGATGGGCAGTGCTGCTCAAGGTGGGTATGGTAGTAACGCGCCTACCTATGATACCTCCGCCACCAATGGAGCAGTGTCTAACAGCGTTGCTTATGGCGGGAAGGAAACTCAGGCTAGAAACGCTGCCTATAGCGGCGGGGCACAGAATGCCGGTGAGGCTGCCTTCGGCAACGAAGAGTATGTTGGTAGTGGACTGTCGCGCCATGGCACGACGAAGGTGGCTGAAAGGGAGGGCCACCATGTGCTGCATAAGGGCCCGCCTGCTAGCCACCCTGCAGCCGCTATGGCGGGGGTGGAGTAAGGTGTCTTTGAGGTTAATACGGGGTTTATATAATGGATATGTTGGGGGCGGGTGGCTAGGGTTGTTGGGGATGGATTGGTATTGTTTGATTATGTATGCTCTTGGATTTCTGTTCTTTTGATACTTGTAATACTCCAGATTGCAAAAACTTTATAAAAATAGCATGGATGTTCAACTTTACATCTTGATAATAGCCGCTTGTGGTTATGTGGAGGTGTGCTAACACTGATGATGAAGACCAGAACCCCACTCTTGAGCTTTAAACCGGCTTTTATTCGTGCATCTGACCGACTTAGTATGTTTGTTTAGGCAGGGATGCGTGTGAAACGGGGATATTAATACACAGCGCGAAGTAGCTGGCGCCTATATTCAACGGTTTACCACGCAGGGTTGGTTCTAGGCAGCGGGTTGTGGAACTGGCAAAGAAAGAGTTGGTTGGAGATGACAGATTTCGGTGCTCAGTATGCGTGGAATAGAATGGGATACTGTGTTTGTATATTGCGGTGAAGATATTATTCTGGCATGATCTGCTCTGTTGTATGTCGTTGGAATTGATCCTCCCGAACGGGCAATGGCAGATAGATATGGTGCTGTCCGATAAGGTTCCTTCATAATTTTTTGGGGTCGTCGCACCTCAAATTCAGCCGTATGAGATTAGAATATATATAAACCTGCTTCTCTCCCATAAAACAAAAAAACAGCAAGGTTCAACCATTGACGTCCGCATCCCTGTTCTGTTTGCTCCCTCCGTCGTCGCATCCGTGTCGTCAGCGGTTTGGTCAAGCTTAACGCGAGATAAACCACAAAACACCTTCGTCGCAACACCAAAAGTTACTTATTCCAACTTTCTTACTCCCAACAAACCCAGTGGAAACATTACTTCACCACCGAATATTCTATTTAATCTTTAATCTTCCCTACCTGGAGAACAGTTTGACTGCAAAGATTTGTTCATAATAAACTTGAATAGTCGTCCACAGTCCATAGACCACCGCGACGCTCCAAACGCGTCTCCAATTCACCAAATCTTCACTGGAGTGAGCTCGACACTCTCGAGCGTATACGCCGAGCAATGGCCCAATTCCTTGATCGGTACCGCATTATTGAAGCCCAAAAAGAAGACTCTGTCAGTTTTATAAAGGTTCGTTGCCAACCATTCCATCCCGTTGACCCTCGACCGAACCACGCTGACAGGCACAACCCTCATAGGATCTACTTGTCTACATTGATAAACTCGAAAACGACCTCCGCGGCGAGAACGATCGCCTTTTGAAAGAGCTAGAAGATGCACAGCTTGACTTGGACGATGCCAGACGTAGTCGTAGGGAGATGCAGCAGCAGTTGACTGTTACAAGCCAGCGACTGGGACAATATAATACCGATAATGAATTTCTGAAGGTTCTACAGATCACACTTCCTCCGTGGTCGCTCCCATTAGCTCACAAGAACAGCACCGAAATCCCTACATAATTGTGTTAATTGACGGTGATGGTACCATTGTAAGGACCCCCGTTTGCTCGTCCTGTCTCAGTCAGCCAATCCAGCACTGACCTCTTGCTCTCCCCAGTTCCACGAAGAATATATACGACAAGGTCTTGAAGGCGGTAAAAAGGCAGCCAATGCCCTCCGAAACGCCGCTCTGGAACAATGCCCCAATATATCCGACGACGTCGAAGTTATAGCTAAAATCTTTGCGAACGTTTCTGGCCTGGCTAAAGCTATGGGGCGCGTTGGCGTACTGGATAATCCTCAGGATCTGCGCGAGTTCACGTTAGGCTTTACGCAGGGCAAGGCCTCGTTTGACTTTATTGATGTTGGCCATGGCACGGAGAGGGCGGATTCAAAGATTAGAGGTACGCATGCTTCCTTCGCCCAGCAGCCACGGCGGGCTTGATCGTGTGAGACTCATTAACGAACCATTTCCACAGAGGCCACAAGATGGAATATTCGAAACCACAACTGCAAACAAATCCTCCTCGGCGTCTCGCACGACGCCGGCTACGCCCCCTTCCTCGACGAAGTCCTGCGCGACGAATCCACCACCCGCCGCGTCTCCATTATCGAGGGAACCCCCATCGTTCGCGAGCTCGCCGCCACTGGCACCCGCGTCCTAAACTTTGACCATATATTCCGCAACGATAAGCTCATCGAGCGCCAATCCCCCTATAGCCAATTCCAGCAGCTGTCCCACGGCCTGCCCCCGGCGCAGCTCCAAGCCATAGTCAACGGCCGCAATCAGAGCCCTACGCCACCAAATACCTGGGCCGGCGTTACTAGCATCCCCCTTACAACTCCTCCTCCCATGGTTTTCCCCGTGACTCTCAAGAACGGCACCTCTGGCGCCTTCGCAGCCGCAGCTGTCAACGTCGTCACGCCCCATCCCAAACTCGACGACTGGGTGCCTGGAGACCGCGGTTTGGATCCGACTCTCACCATCTCCGCCGTCGTCCTGGAGCGCACCAAGCGCCGCGCCGGAAACACAAAGCTATGCAATAACCACTACCTCCGCGGCCCGTGCCCCAAGGGCGACGAATGCGTCTTCGAGCACAGGCACAAAGCTAGCGAAGAGGAGCTCAAAGCCATCGCCTACCTAACCCGGTTGAACCCTTGCGTGAATGGCCAGGACTGCGATGTCGAGTACTGCATCTACGGACATCATTGTCCGAGCGTCGGGCTGAATCTCGCGGCTGTGGGGGGGAATGGGAAGGGTGAGGAGGGGGTTTGTGCGGCGTTTGGGTGTCGGTTTGGGGCTGATGGGCATCCGCTGGGGACGGTTATAAGACATCCGAAGAAGTGGGATAAGGAGTATTATTAGGCTCTCTCTCTCCCTCTTGTGGGGGAGGGGGGGTTACAACCAACACAGCAAACAGCAATGGGTGTGGGGAGATAGATGTTTAAGTTTAATTTTAGTTTATTTATGTGCTGAGGCAAGGCACCTGACATGTTTGATTGATGGTCGGGATATTTGGGTGGGAGGCCTCCCAAGGGACAAACAGATTGAGCATTTGCTGAGGGTGGTGGACATATCTTGATCGAAGAGAGATTTGAAGGAGACGCGGAGGATACTTTATTCTCAGATCGAGAGGACGGGCTGGAAGGGGGAACCAAACTCGATCGATATGTTTGTCATCCCAACGAATGGGATATTACATTACTTCGTACTTTAAAACGCTGAGCTTAGCTAGTTAAAAAAATGTCAAGAGCTACAAACGATGCCCAGCAGTAGTACAATCTTCACCCCCCCTCCCCCTTCCTCCAAAAAAAACCTCCGCCTGTGGTGCAACAGAAGACTACCTAGTCTTCTGTGACACCGAGCCTCACAACCACTCCCGACGGCCAGCACACCATGCAAAGAAGAAGAATCCATTGTGCGTTACGAGGAATTACTAGGTTCATATGTACCATCCCGAAACAAGCCCCCCGCACCACCCACACACACAACGAAGACGGCTTTGAAAAGCGTGTGCCCTGATCTGTCTCCCACCCCCACACCCCACCATCCCTTAGTTCCCAAAATGAGCTTATACACACACACACACAAACTTACGCGCGTCATTACTGTGCCTCCTCCTCGCGTCCCTGGGGTGGGCCGTCGAATTCATCCCCTATTGCCGTTCCGTGCCAAACTCCGATAGTCAGAACAGCGTCGATGCCGTCCGCCCATGCCGCGACCTTTCTCCGTAGTCTCTAAATGGCCCATGGTGTACACTCCAATCCTTTCACTTCCCCCGCGCGGGCAAGATCCCTTAAGGCCTCGCCCGCTTCATCGACGCGTCATCGACGCGCCCTGCTTGCTGTCCACCACATGTATGGTAGGATAGAACAGCCTACTTCTTCCTCGGCAACCCCTTCACACGCCTCTCCTCGCGATCCCCCTCTCCCAACCACCGACTCGCCTTAACGAGCTGCACAACATTGATGATCTGCTTCCCCGCCATGACCGGGAACGAGGCACCAGCCAGCACCCATGGCCAGAACGAATCCAGCTTATTCGCGCGGGCGAGCTCGAGGGCGCCGGCGGACCAGGGGTTGGCGAACAGCGAGGCGGCGGAGGGGTGCGAGGGGTTGCCGGGCTGGAGGGAGCCGGGGGTGGAGGCGTCGACGTTGACTTGTAGGAGGGAGGGGGAGAGGAGGGGGGAGGAGAAGGAGAGGAGGTAGAGGGCGATGAAGAAGATTTCGTTGAGGGCACAGAAAAGGAAGAGGACTGTCTGGTGGGGGGGTTAGTGGGGACTGCGGTGGTTTTGATGGAGGGGGGGAGCGAAGTACCTTGTTCGTGTAGTAGAGGTTCAGGATGTAGCTACGGCTACGATCAACCTTCTTGTGGCTCTCGCCAGAACCACCCATCACAAGCGTGGCGTACATGTGCATGTAATGGCTCGCGAGATCGAGGGAGATGAGGCCCTGAAACACGATCGACCAGCGCGGGAACGCGGAGGCGAGGAAGACCAGCAAACACGCCGTCGTGCAGCGATCCGTCACCATATCAAGAACAGCACCGAAGCGGGTGGACTGGCTGAAATGCCGCGCGGCGTAGCCGTCGAGGGCGTCGAGGAGACAGGACACGCTGTAGAGGATTGTGCAGGTTCGGGGGTGGAGCGGCATGTAGTAGAGGGAGCCGAGGGCAAGGACGATGCGCACGTAGCCTAGGCGGATCTGTTAGTCTCTGCGTGGTTTGGTGGAGATGGGAGATGGGGTAAGTGGAGGACTTACCAATGATATTCGGCCAGAAGAGGAAAATGTTCTCGTAGGGGTGCTCCTCCTTGCCGGCTGCAGCGGCGGCGCGGTCGCCATTCAGGAGAGGCTGCTCTGCGCTCACCTTTGGAGCGGGGGAGCGCGAGGAGCCCTTGCGCGTGGGCGACTTCTTGCCGGAGGCTTTGTTGCTGGACATTTTGTGTTTGGGGTTGAGGGAGTCGAGGTCGTTGAGGAGAGGAGGTAGACTTTTCCCTTGTTGGTTGTTAGGGCTGACGTTTCACGCGGGGCGACTCGGATGGGCGAGGAAAGTTGTTGAAACTCTAGGAGAGGAGTGTAGTCTGTAGCTAGATGACTCTGGCGAGAGAGCCGGTGGGAGTCGTCGATGTTTTGAAAGGGGATAAGGAGTGTAGGAGAAGAGAAGGATGTTTGTTGGAGGGTTAGGCGTGTGGTGCAACATACGTACTCGAGTACATATGCCCCCTCCTGTTGGTTGGAGACGCAACGCAGGATTGGGGGCAGATATTCTATCGTCGTGAATATTTCATAGTGAAATAGTTTATATTCCTTAATTAACATCCTGTCAAACGCTATAAGATCTCACAATGGCAGTACAATCCCAATAAACCCTCGTCGTCCAAGTAACTAACACCGGAACCTACGAGAGCATATATCACGTGACCACATTCACTCTTCAACCTTCTCAGCCTCGCACAGCCTCGTCGTGCCAAAATCCAAAACCTCATTCCCCAGGCCGTCGCTTAGCCCCACCAAAACCCACTGATCCCAGATCTCAGATATCCCCCATCACCTCTCCCATCTCCCCGCCCATTCTCCTCCTCCCTCAAGACACACACCCAGCAAAATGTCGCACGCACGCATAGAAGAAGTCTCCGACTCCGACTCCGACCCCTCCGAGGGCCGCCTCTCCGAGCTCTCCGACTCGGACTTCGACGAGCGCGAGATCCTCAAAGCGCGCCCCTCTCAAGTCGGCAAACCCCGCGCTCCCCCCCCAGCCTCCGCCGCCCAACAGCAGTCCCTCCTCGACCCAACCCTCGTCCCCTCAGCAGACGGCACGAATTTCCAACCCACGACCGATGACGCGAAGTACCGCGACTTCCAGTGTCTGTACCCTGTGTACTTTGACAAGAACCGGAGTCGGGCGGAGGGGAGGAGGGTCGGGAGGGAGTTGGCGGTGGAGAATCCGATGGCGAGGGAGATTGTGAATGCGTGTGGGAGGTTGAGGTTGGAGACGCTGTTTGAGCCGACGAAGTTGCATCCGAAGGATTGGAGTAATCCGGGGAGGGTGAAGGTAAGGGTTAAAGGGGGGGGTAATAAGAATGTGCAGACCAGTATGTGAGCCTACTTACCACTCAGAGGTGAGGTTTGACTAACGAACTATAGAACACCACCTCTACCTCCTCGTCGCCGCCCACCTCCAAGCCCACCCAACAACCACAGCAACAGCAATCCAAGTCCGCGTCCCCGGCGCCCCCCCCCCCGACCCCTCCAAACCCTACCCCGTCCCCGCCATCCCCCACGGCTGGAAAATGGGCTCTATCCTCCCTTACTACAGCCCTGCCATGTCGGGGGGAGGGGTCAGCGATAACTTCTTCAAGGATATGATGGCCGAGATGGGAGGGCAGCTGCCGCCGGGGATGGAGGGGATGATGAATGCGACGGGTGCCGGAGGGGGGGGGGCGGAGGGGGGGAAGCCGAAGAAGGTTAAGAGGAAGATTATTAGGGCGTGACTGGGGTTGGAAAAATGTAGCATGCATGCGGGATGGAGTAGGGAGTTTGGGTGCTGAATGGCATATTTGGAGTGCATATCCTACACGCTGACACCCTTGTGTCAGCGTGTCATGTCAGTGATGTCGGCTGAATGTGAGATGTCATAAAATATAAGGAGTGAATTCGTCGCCAAACTACCCCCCTCGTAACTCGTTCTGTAGCGGATATCTCACAATGCAAAATCATCGCATACCCATCCCTCTACCGCTCACGCCCTTAACTCAACCTCCCCTCCATATAAAACCCCCATTAACTATGTTCACCTACCCCCTTCTTACCCCCTAATATCTCCCCCCACCATAGCCTTGTCCCGGATAGCCCCCTCCCTGCCCCGGATATCCCTGCCCAGGATACCCTCCCTGCGGCGGTCCCTGAGGCGGTCCCTGCTGCCACCCACCCTGCTGCGGCGGTTGCGGGCCTTGCTGCCATCCACCCTGCTGCTGCGGCGGGCCCTGCTGCCAACCACCTTGCTGTGGTGGAGGAGGACCCTGCTGCCATCCACCCTGCGACGGAAGTCTCTGATCCCACCCTCCTGTCTGCTGAGGCGGATACCCACCCGGTCCACCAGGTCCACCATACGAAGGCTGCGGCGCGCCTCCATACCCGCCTCCGTAGCCACCACCGCCCTGATACTGGTCTTGGGCTTGATATCCCCCGCCTCCTGAAGCTTGGTAGCTTGACGGCGGCGCCGCGTTATCATATGAGTACCCAGATGGTCCAGATTGGGCGCCGAGATACGGTTCACCCCCGCCGCCGCCGTAAGAAGGAGCGCCTGGGGCAGACGAGTAGCCGAATGCACCAACTGGCGTCGAGGGCGAGGGCGAGATGCCACGGGATAGGGAGTCGTCGATCTCACGCATCGCACCCAGGTCACGCGCTTGGATTTTACCCCACACCGCGCTAGCAGCCTGACCGTACCCCCCGAAGCCGCTGTGCGAGTTATCCGGGCCGTGGGAGTGGACGGCTGGGTTACCGCCCTTGTGGTTCCCGCCGGACTTGACGGAGGCGGAGCCGAGCATGTGGTTGAGGTTGCTGCGGTGCGGGTTCTCGTCGACCCATTTCTTGACGGTATTGAACATGTTGCGGTGGATCTCGAGATGCTCGTTGCGCGCGGCAGGGTGGTGGAAGACGTTGAGGATGTCGTTGATTACTTCGTCGGCGGGGACGCCGGGGTGTTCCCAGGCGTAGAGGATGCGGCTGGGGGTGGGTTAGGGGGGGTGTTTCTTGGAGGGGGGGTGGTGACTTACGGAGCAACATATTGCAAAATTGTTGTGGCAACTCGTCCTCCTACGGGGTTAAGGTAGTTGGAGAAATGGTCCTTGGAGAGCATGGAGTGAGTTGGATCAGTGGAAGTCGGGTCATTCCATACGACGAATTGCTGGTCAGAACTCGACTTCACCACAGCGCCGGATCCATCCTGTAGAGCCTTCGAGACCTTCTCGATGATGGGCCTGATGAAAGGTGCAAGGAGAGACATGATAAACACCGTGATCTTCTCGCTAATCGTCTCCACCAGCTTCTCAAGGCCTGGGATCTTAGCAATAGTAGCATTGATGGACTTGACGATCTTGTCGCGGAACTCTAGTATGGGATAGATCCGAGCAATGGTCTTCTGGGCATCGAAATCCGGGCTCATTCCTGGGATCCCAGGGCCGGGAGGTCCGCCAGTAGAGCCGGGGGGTGCTTGGAATGACTGGCCTCCAGAGGCTCTGGTGGCCTCGTTCTCATATTCTTGGGCCTGCGACTGGGCCTGAAGGTCTCGAGCTTGGCTTGCTAATCCTGATCCTTGGCCTGGAATCTGGGACAGCAGGTTCAAGAAATCATCGCCACCGTTGGAGCCCGAGCCGAAGAATCCGCGCGTTCCCTCGCCCTTGGTCGCAAGCTGTGCGTTCATGAGAGCTAGGTCCATCTCCTCAACCTCGGACTGGGTGAAGTGGTCTGTAGCTTCTCCAAGCATCTGTTAATGTTAAAGAAATTTCTATAGAGTATTGAAGTGGAATTACCGAATGCAAGAAGTCTACGGCACCAAACGTTCCAGTCGTCAAGGGGTAGACGCGTTTGCCATTCAGGTTGATCTGTGTTGCATTTCCAACGTGTGGAAACACCTCATTGAAGCCAAGCTCGATCAGTGCAAGCTCGCAGTAGTTGGTGTGAGCGCCCCAATCCTGTCCCTCATGTTAGAAATTATAAAGTAGGCTTCATCGCGGTGTCAGAGGCGCTTCAGCCACATACCTCAAGACAGTGAAGACTTTGCCCCAAGCATCTGAGAGCCTCGCTCAAGTCTGCATCCTTGCCGCTAGAACCTCCTCCACCATTAGTGTAAACCCGGCCGAAATGAATACTTCTTGTGACACTGTATCTGATGTAGCCAGAGCTAGTTGCCCATCCACCACGGTCATTAGCGATGTAATTCTTCATGCCAGTGTTAGGATCGATCAAGAGCTCCTCTTTCTGGATGGGCCCCCTGAGACGAGGATCGTACTTCCTTGCGTCCTCGTTGTCGGCATAGTCCTTTGGGTTGTCAATGTGCTCCTCGGGGCGGTAGACACCGAGCCTCTCCTCAGTGACCTCGAATTCTCCGGTGGCATAGCCAAAGGACAAGAAGCTCAGAATCCAAATCTAGATGATGGTTAATTATGTTTCTCTCTCAAATATAACTTTGATTTCTAAACGAATGGCAGGGGCTGATGTTAAGTGGCGCCCTACCAGAATACGAATCGTGGGAGCAGGGACCCCCTTCACGGAGCCAACATCGATAGCTTGACTGCAGAGATATTAGTGACTTGACGTAGTATTAAACATCAATATAAAACTTACCTGTAGTCACGCAGCCAATTTCCAAAGTACACCCTCTTAATCATCATAGTGGACCACTTGTGGCCCTTAAGAAACGCCACCGTCTTGAGCATATCCTCGATATCGCCATGACGCCAGTTCTGCCCTTCGACAGTCGATATACCTGGAATATTCCCAGCTCCGAAGGCCAGAGCCGGCGCTGGACAGAGCACCAGGACAAGGCAGAGGATGAGAAAAACGCTTCCACGTGATGAGAGCGACATCGTCATAGCTAAAAGGAGGGGCAACGGGACGTTGAAGGGTCCTCGCAGAGGGAGTTAAAAGAAGGGTCGCCTTTCTGGCTAAGGGTAGATAGAGCCGGATGTCCAGATAGCTCTTTGCAGACAACACAATGCCCGGAAGGAGTAGGATGTGTCGGTGGTGGGATGTTGGCTATTTGGAAACAAGAAATGGCGGTTGGTGGGGTAAAACACTTAGCATGAGTTTGGTGGCAAGCATCAGCTCAGAACTAGCGAGGAAGCTTCACCAGGAGGCATCACCAGGAGGCATTAAGGGTTAAGGGTTAAGGGTTTAAGGGTTAACGCACAGTATAAAACTGATAATAAATAACCAGAGTCGACCAGCATGGTGAATATAGACCACAGCATAGAAAGCATAAAGCTGCTCGTATAATAAATAACCAGTGTCTCGACCCCTTTTCCCCTTTTTCCCTACACAAAACACACGGCGGCACCGGCACCATCTCAGACAGAGAGAGACGGACGGGAAAATCAAAATCAAGATGTACCACAGTACCTCATTGGCCGTGCTGCCCACCGCACATCATAATGTACCGGTACATGCCAAAACTTGATAGGCAATGCCACTCATATGCCAGAATCTGTTACCTGTGCATTTAGGTTCATTTTGGTGCATTTTGGTGCATTTTGTCTCCCAGTCCTCCCATTTACTGACTAATTCCAGCGGCCAAGCCCCAAAACTTGACCGCCGCAGAAGCTAACTTAACGGTAAACCAGCCAAAGCCGTCCCCTGCAAATTAATTTCATATGCCACCCGACCGACCACCGACGCCTACTCCCGCGCTTCCGGCCAAACGAAAAAAAGAAAACATCTCCTGAGCTGCGAGGAAGAACTTCCACCCCAAAACCCAGAGGACACTTCACTACTACAACTCCTTTTGCAAGCTTCAATTATTTATTATCGACCTCACCACCGTTTATACAAATAACAAACTCTTGTTATCACTGCGGTGCTCGCTCCGTTGCGACTACCGTTGCGTCTACCGCTGTGACTACCTACCGCTGCTGCCTTGGGCCCCATATCCACCATCCCCTCCTTTTTGTCTACTCAGCTATTCGCTGCTCAGCTACCCTCCAAACTCCACACCCCTAAAAGACATTATTACTTGCTTCGCTCTTCAGATTATTATTGCTGTCTGTTTCTTCAAACATCATCATGCCTTCGCGGACTCTCCCAACATTCACCAGGGCGGAAGTGGAGTCGCATAACACCGCCACAGACTGCTATGTCACCCTGGGCGAGAAAGTGTGCGACCTCTCCGACTTTGTCGACTCACATCCCGGCGGTGGGGATCTGATCCTCGAGTACGCTGGAAAGGATGTCACGGAGATCTTGAAAGACGAAGTCTCGCACGCACACTCGGAAGCTGCATATGAGATCCTTGACGACGGCCTAATTGGCTTCCTCCCCTCCCACGAATCCACAGACTCGAGTCTCAAGCGCAGGAATGTCAACCAGGCCACACTAAACGGGAACGGAGCGACAAACGGCAAAGCGACCGCGCGCATGGTATATGAGGCAACAGGAGTCGGATCCGCGGAGGACCTGTCCAAGGACACGGATCTCGTCGACGACTACAAGAAATACAAGTTCCTGGACCTGAACAAGCCGCTCCTGATGCAAGTCTTCTTTGGAGGCTTCAGCAAGAAATTCTATCTCGAGCAGGTCCATCGTCCCAGGCATTACAAGGGTGGCGATTCTGCGCCCATCTTTGGCAACTTCCTTGAGCCGCTTAGCAAGACGTCCTGGTACATGATTCCGATTATCTGGCTGCCACAAGTTGCGTATGGATTATATCTGTCTCATGAAGGCCTGGGCAACTTGGGGGTTGTCGCCTTTTTCGGATTGGGCCTGTTCATTTGGACACTCCTGGAGTATGGACTTCACAGATGCCTCTTCCATCTAGACCAGTAACTTTTTTCCATTCTGTAACTCTGATTTGATCTAGGCACTAACTATGAATCTAGAAAACTCCCAGATAACCGTGTGGCCATCACCCTGCACTTCCTTCTCCACGGCGTCCACCACTATCTCCCCATGGACAAATACCGCCTCGTCATGCCCCCCACCCTCTTCCTCGCCCTCGCAACCCCCTTCTGGAAGCTCGCCCACACAATCTTTGCATTCAACTGGTACATGGGCACCGCCGTCTTCTGCGGCGGCATCTTCGGATACGTGGTGTACGACCTGACGCACTACTTCCTCCACCACGCCAAGCTCCCCGCATTCTACCAGGACACAAAGAAATGGCACATGCAGCACCACTTCATGGACTATGAGAACGGCTTTGGAGTCACGAGCTGCTTCTGGGATAGAGTCTTTGGCACTGAGCTTGTCATGACCCAACCCGTGTCCAAGATCGTGAAGGCGACTTAAGAATTTGAAATTCTTTGTGTGCGAGGGGGGGCTGCAGTCCTTCCCTGGGGATGTATATCAAAATTGTAATGGAAAGCTCACGAATAACCGGTAATTGAGAGACAAAACGGCCAAATTCGTTGAGGATGGAGTCTAGGCTTTGTGGGTGGGCACGGGTTGATGAATAGCACGGCTGGGATGACGGCCATTAATAGTAATAATGCAAATACATAATACCACTCTGTACATTATGTGGAATAATACAGACTCTGAATCAAATGCAAAGGTTTAAAGCCACTCTATTCATACAGTGCAAGTTATAATGTGAAAATTGTAGTCCATAATACCACTTTGTAAGAGCCCGGAATAATGTAGATTTTATAGCAAATGCAGAAGTTTAAACAAGGTACATTCAAGTTCTCCAAATTATACTTTTCAAGTCATAATGTGAACTGAAATTTGGATGAAAACAGTACGTAGACCACTTTAGTTGCGAAAAACAGTTCCATGTTTAGCGCGTGACAGTAACAGGCCCCCCAACCCTTATTCTCCTTTTTGGGATTAGCCCCTTAGCTCCGCCATATTTGCCTAAATAGGCAATATCTTGTTCCCTCTCATACTAACAAGTAAGAACCAAGAATCGGAAGCCTACGCTAATGGCAGACTCAGCCCGCTGCCCTCATTAAGGCATCTAGAAGCCCTCTCTAAAGAGGCCAAAGGCTAGTGCGTAAGAGCGCTAGCGTAACAGCTTAGATAGCAATGGCACATCGCTACCATTGCTATCAGCAGCAGCAAGAGCAGCGGTGTCATACTGACATTCGTTGCACTCAGTTTGCTATCAAACTCAAGAGCAAACTTGGAAATCTCCTCCTCAAACCTACAAGTCACTATACATATTTTGGCTTATCACACCAACAACAAGAGCAATACTACTCAACGATTGCTACAACCATCTATGATTCATTACACGTCATCGCTCCTTAGTTACTGGGCCGATATTACCACATAGCATATCTCTACAACCCTCTATGATTCATTACATGACATCACTCATACTACCACATGACATATCTCTACCAACTAGAGGCCTAGGAGCATGAACGATAGCTCTAAAAGCTCCTACGAACCTCTATGATTCATTACATGTCATCGCTCTTTAGTTACCCACAAGATTGGTTAAGTTATGACATAATTTGTCTATGACATAATTTGTCTATGACATAATTTGTCTATAGGGGTACTCTGACCTTGGACCTCCTTTTACTTCCTATAGGCTACGAACCTAAGAGATGGTTCTATGGGATTCTCTTACGTCGACTACAGTTACCAAGCCTGGTAATCATGGAAAGTCTTGGAAAATGAGAGAACTACACTCCTTTAGCATAAATAGGATTGCCCTTTCCTTAAGAAAGGGCAAGCAGACAATACAGTAAATCGACTATCACATACTTCCACGTCTTTTCCAAGCTTCCAAGCATTCATCTTGTTACTCCTTGTTTCTGAAAAGTGAGTGAGGTGTTAACCTCTGACTTACCCCTAAGTTCCCAGACTCAACATTTGTTGCAACTTGTCTGAACCACTTCACTACATCACACACCTGATTGCTGCGTTGTGGAATAGTCTAAGCTACGACCCTTTGGCTCTGTTTTCTAAGACAGTGTGTTGTCTTAGTAAATTCATCCCTTCCTTGGGTGGCTAGATTCTCACATCTGGTGCACCCACCATTACAAGCGGCAGCAACTCCGCCCTTCGTTCATGTATGAATGAAAGGTTTTCACCCTTTCTACATTGCCCCCAGGCAATGCAGAGTGCCTGTTCCGCTTTACAGAACAGGAGCTCCTGAAGCTCCTCCCCCTCCTTCATTTTAAGGAGATGCATTAGAGGACCGCTCTAGCGCTAACGCTAGAGACAGCTCTATGCCTTGTTTGTGCGAGACTAGCATATACTTCTTGCTAGCTTAGCCTCTTAACATCTTTAGATGCTTAGAGGCTTAGCTAAGCATTATGTTTAATGATGTAGTACTCTTCTTAGCTACGTGGTTTAGGCCGCTTCTCTAGTAGCACTACTAGCTAACATACGGAGGTGTTGTTCATAAGTTTTGTGAGTGGGTCATGAGATGACCAGGGGTTGGGCATGGGTTGGAGCATGGGTACGCATAGGCTTGTTTGTACCTTTTTAACGCGTCAAAATTCCTACTATTGTATTTTATATGTAGGAAATTCATACTCTTTCAATAACTACAATGCCTCATCTTACTCGCGATGAGCGGCTTCGTTGCGCACTACTACGCTCCCTAGATTGGGAGTTCCAAAAAATTGCAGCCTATATTGGCTGCACGGAACGGCAGGCTTGGTATGCTTGCCAGGGCCCTCCAACTCCGAAGAAGCGTTCGGGTAGGCCACTTATCCTATCCGATGAGCAAGTTCAAGAGGTTATTGAGTTTATAGCCTCATCTCGCACGAATAGGCGTATGCCATATACAAATATAATACGCATTCTTAATATTCCATGCTCATGGCTTGTCCTAACACGCGCTCTGTCTGTGAGAGGCTATAATCGACGTAAGTATCCCTCTCTACTTTACTACTATATAGACTAATAATTATTAAGGGATTGCTATGCGGAAGCCTATTATCTCAGAGACAAATCGACAAAAGCGACTTTCATGGGCTATTGAACATAAGGATTGGGTACGGAATGATTGGAATAGGATACTTTGGACTGACGAGACGTGGGTAACGGGAGGCCGCCATACTCGTACATGGGTTACTCGAAAAGCAGGGGAAATGTGGAATGATACATGTGTTGTAGATAGAGTACAACGGAGAAGGTAAGAGACTCCTATTTACTATAGGATTTACTAACAATCCCTAGAGGTTGGATGTTCTGGGGCTGCTTCTCAGGTGGTCTTGGAAAGGGTCCTATACTATTTTGGGAGAAGGAATATGGGAAAATAGGAGCTGAGTCCTATATGGCTCATACTGTCCCTCTAATCCACGGCTGGCTACGCCTATACCCAGGCCGATGCAAGATGGAGCTCCAGGTCATAGAGCAGGTGCAACATATGAAGAGTTGAGATCCCGTGGTATTTGCCCTATAGAATGGCCCCCGTATTCACCAGATCTCAACCCAATTGAACGGGTGTGGCATATTATGAAGAATTATCTACAAGATAATCATCCAGAACATATGTCCTACGACCAGCTCCGTGTAGCTGTTAAGGAAGCATGGGAGCAAGTTGGAGAAGCTGAGCTTAATGCTCTCCTTAATAGTATGCCTACACGTATGGCAGCAGTAATTGCTGCAAATGGTATGCACACAGAGTACTAGGCTTATAGTATAGTTTTATATAGGGGTTTAGGTATCTACTCTACTCATTATTCTACAGAATTGATTGCTCTCACACTCAAGTGTTCGTGACGCGTGAGAATCGGTACTTTGGCCAGAATTGCCAAACCAGCCTATGCAGGGGGCCCTAGCCCGACCCACTCACAAAACTTATGAACAACACCTCCGTATAGTCGACTTATAGAGTGTTACAGCTACGGTAACGTGATGTCATGGTTACAGGTCCAGGACCTAGTAATGTGACGTGTGAGTCACAGGGGGCAAGCGGGGTAGGCTGCCATGTGACGGGGCTAATGGATAGTTGCAGAAACTAGTGGATATTGAATAGTTGAGCTATCCATGAACTATCCTGAATATCTAGCTATCCGCCAACTATCCAGATTACCCATGAGGCACGACGCCACTATATAAGTAGATAGTTTATCCTTAGATAGGAGCTTCGTGCTCAACTCAATATAGTATTCTTTACAATACTGTAACGTGTTACTTGGAAAGCCTTTGTGTCTAATCCCCTGCCTCCTCTGTCAAGTCAATCTTACGCAAGAAACCTCTGTGTCTTCTATCATTTAGAAGTCAGCGTTACATAGAGCTCTTAGTAGGGGTTAAGAGTGTGTGTGGCGTAGGAGGGTCTAGGGCTTCGTAGATGGCACCTTTAGAGGCCATTGTCGCCTAGAAGGTAATGTGGCATAGAGAGCAGTATACTCTAGCCATAAATGCCAACATGGTATTAATTAGCAAGCCATCTTTACACTAGATGGCTTAATTAGCTCCTTAGTAGGCGCCTTTGTAGGCCCTGTAAATGACTAGGCTATGTGGCGCTAGTCTAGCTGTAATGTAGCAATCTGCAAGGTAAGCCCCCTCCTGTAGTCATAGCTATACTAACTATCTATAGGTAATGGAGGGTCATGAGACTCTTTATGTCTTCAGTGACCTAGCGTATACAGCTGCCTTTAGAACCGCTTGCCCTTTTGAACATCCGCTTAGGCAATTTTCACTTTAGGAGGATGAGCAGCAATAGAATGTTACTTTGTCCTCTGTTTGAATTGAAAGAGAAAACCCTTATAAAGTGAATAAAAGTCCTTACTAACAGTGGCTATGCACCTAGTCATCAAATTTTACAACAGATTGTAGATGAAATCTGCATTAACACTGTTGTTGCATCTTCGAACTTTCTGCTAATAGGCACGTCCTAAACACACCTAACACCACATACACCTAAATTCCAAACCTATCTTTAGGGCAGGAGTGGGTTCTACACTTCATTAGACAGCATCTACACTTACAAGTACGACTAGGAAGGCAGATCAAATCATAAAGGATGAACAGTGTTATAAAAGATGAACAGTGTTATAAAAGACGTGGTAGTAGGATGGTTTGATGTATACAAGGACCTTATGACATGTCTTAAAATCAAAGAACACAATGTATATAACATAGATGAGACTGGCTTTTCGATTAGAACGATAGAATGTACTCGAATCATTGTTAATTCCACGCTCTATATGCGCCATTAAGCGCACTAAGGCCGTTAAGAATGGGTGTCTGTCATTGAATGCATCTGTATAGACGGCACGGCCATCAACCCTTTTATCATATTCAAAGGTCTTAACGTTTTGTAAAGCTTGATTCTATAGGAGGTTATTGATAAATGGCACTTCTCTGCAAACTGAAAAGGATAGACAAGCAATCTACATGGACTTAAGTGGTTAAAACGTGTGTTCGGGCTAGTAACGTATGCGAAAGCAGATAGAGGACAACGACTTCTTATTTCAGAATCGCATCTCGCTCCTTATACTGCCACCACATACTTCACATGTGTTACAGCCGCTCGATGTTGCAGTTTTTAGACCATTGAAAAAACGCCTTATAACCGCACTATCCCTGCTTAATGAAACATAGCTCACGCGTATACAGAAAGCGGAAAAAGCAAGGACAGAAGCTCTTTCGATTGGAATATTACCTTAGCTTGGAGAGGCGCAGGATTACAACCACTGCAACCGTAGCGCATAATACAGGAGGTTACGCTTCTAACATCTAACGTAACGACTGCAGATGACCGACCTAAAGCACCAACATAACACGATATTTTTGATACTGTCTTTCAGAATAGTAGCCCACCTGATTTCGCTACATTGCGAAAAGCAAATACTATACTCGGTGTTCCACCCACTCGCTTCGCTCGTAGGTGGCGACAGCAAGTTGTGCGTGCGACAGCAAGATGTGCGACACATAAAACGAAGAAAAAGACGCCTTATATATCAACTATATAACTATATAATTAAAACATAAAATCAATAGAACTACTATCACTATCGCTACTGCCACTATTGCTACTATCACTTTGATCCTTACTATACCGTAAAATGATCACTTTTGATTTCAACCCTTCCTTCTTCCGCTCTGCTACCCGCTTCCTCTCAACCTTACGCTCTTCAATTTCGATTTTACGTGCTTGCGCTTGTAGCTGCTTTACTACTTGGTCCGATTCCCTTGCTGCTCTTGCGTCTGCTTTTGCTTGCAACTTTGCTTTCTTCTCTTCCCGCATTTTCCGTGCATCTGATGCATATAACTGCCCTCCTTTCTGTAGTGATTTCCGTGCCCTTGCCTTTGCTGCCTTCTGCTCTACTGCACGTAGAGTCATAATATCTAGCTCGGTCTTATAGAGCTCTGCCCGGTGTAGAACAACTGTAGTTCCACGTGCAAATGATTGAAACCCTTCTCTTGAAGGCGATGAGAAAGCTTCCTCTGCTCTCTTCTGCCAATGTTCAACCGCTTGCACACTTTGCATAGTTGTTTTCGGTGTTGAGATAATATTATATGAAGCAAATGGCTCATAATCAGGTGTTTGATTCCGAGTCTCTTGTATCTTGTCAATTACAAGTGGAGGATTATATGGATATAGTCCTGTATTTCTCCAACCAGATTGAATTGTACGGACAGTTAGAGATTGCCGTCGGATTTGCGGGAGGTCTGAAAGGAACGTACGTAGCTTATACTCATAGTCGTAGCTACGTACTGCTTGATCAAGTGCCTTTTGATGAAAGTGTTTGCACTGCTTAAAAACCGCTACATCAAGAGGTTGTAATAGATGTGTTGTATGAGCAGGAAGGCAGCAAATAACAATGTTATGCTCTTCTGCTAATGTAAGAAAGCGCTCTGTTTTATGAGAGTCATGGCCGTCAAGTAATAAGAGGCGAGTATCATCTGGTGCCATATGCTCTGCAGATAGTTGGATAAAATGCATAAGGTATTGGATTGCAATGTCGTCGTTTGAATACCCGCTCTCATTTACAATAATGAGAGCATTTGGCTCAAGGTCATCATTGTACCATGAATCCATATGAAGTTTGCCAGGGATAATGATAGCTTCTGCAAGTGCAGCACCACTTGCATTTACTGCCTCAATTACAGTAACAGAGAGCCGATTCTCAGGATTATCAACAGTCCACTGCTTTACACCGATTGGTACAATAACAGCCGTAGACTTATAACACCCAATCATATAGCCTGTCTCATCAACATTCCATAAATTATATGGCTTAATGTTATGTTTTGTAATAAGGGCGTTATATGTGAGAAAGAATTCCTCAAACACCTCTTTCTTTTGTGCTTGCTTCCGATGTGTATTTAACGTCTTCGTGTGAATTGTATGAAATTCGGGGTGTGCTTTTAGAAAGCGTTGTAGCCACCGTTGTGATGGTATCGTACGATTAGGTCGTAAGTCTGCAACTGCCCGTAGTATCATAGATCGGTTGGCAGGGACCCCGCGCTCAAGTTGGTCGTATATGAATTGACAGACCGCGGTCTCTTGCGATTGAGATAAGACTCGATTGCTACCTCCGTGGGGTAATTGAGGAGACGTAGTACTCGTAATACGACGTCGGAGTGTCTCACGGTTGACATTGAATTTATTTGCAACCCAAGCAATTGTATATGTACTTGGTTGTTTTAAGAAGAACTGTTGGGCCTCATTAAGGCGAGCAATCATAGTAGGATCGTTATTTTGAGGCATTGTAGATACTACGTTATGAAGAATACTATTATTTTTTCTATATATCAAAATAGCGGTGTACGCACATCTTGCTGTCGCACGCACAACTTGCTGTCGCCACCTACGAGCGAAGCGAGTGGGTGGAACACCGAGTACTAGGACCACATTTCTACCGAGGAACTACGTGTCCAAGTTCTAGAGGACAGGAAGCCACCCGACAGAAAGCAACAAAAAGTCGAGCCACGGGCGCAAACCATGCTGAAACTGAACTAATTGAAGAGTAAATTGTCAAAGACGACCTAGAGGAGGAATTAGACTACATTATAGAGTAGTCGAGTACTAAACTAAGAAATTGATTGTTTTCCGGCCAGACTGGTGGTGTTCGTGACAACTAGGCGATCAACGCCATTAGCGAATTTGCGCCTTAAAATAGCGCTATGCCACCACAAGATCAACTTCTACAAGACCAACTTCTACCCTGTCGCATCCTCACCAACTTCTCAATCAACACTCATCCTTCCAACAAAGGAAAACCAGAATCCTGCGGAAAGAAAAGGGTCTGCTCTCTTCGCCTAGACATTTCTCTTGACGTGCCTAACCACCTGAAGTGAACCCTCCCCCTTCCACAGCAAAACCAACCACAAGCCACCCACCCAGCTTCCTCTTCACCATGTCCGAACTCGACGTTGAAGCCCTCCTGGACTCCACCGCTGCAACATCTACTGAACAAAATGGTAGTTCTACTCAGCCGCGCGACGCCGACGACCGCCACCAGTCCGAGCGCAACGAGCGTCGTGACCGCGACCGTCTCCGGAAGCCCAGCCGCGACAGGAAACACCGCAACCGCAGCGCGGAGGTCGATGAGGACCTGAAGCAGCCCGGGAGCGAGCATGGGAGCGCACAGGGGAGCCAGAAGAGTAGGCGCAGGAGCAGGAGCCGCGATGCTGACGGACGGCACTCTCGTCGTCATAGGGATGCACCACACGATAATGGGGATTACTACCGAGGCGGGGGCAGGCCGAGGTCGAGGTCTAGGTCGCCGGGGAGATACTATAGGCCACGGGGGGGTGATAGACGGGATCGCGATCAGAGGGATGAGCGAAGGGTGGGAGGGGGTGAGCGGAGGAGAAGCAGGAGCCCGAAGGGTGGTAAGGGCAGTCGGGATGGGACGCCGCCGCTGACGGAGGATGAGAGGGATAAACGCACTGTTTTTGTGCAGCAGCTGGCAGCGAGATTGAGGTCTAAAGAACTGATTGCATTCTTCGAGAAGGTTGGCCCCGTCAAGGAGGCGCAGATCGTCAAAGACAGAGTTAGCGGCAGATCCAAGGGGTATGTTTGTTCCTTTCCTGAACCTACTGTGTGAAAACATGATGCTAACTTTCTGTCTTATAGTGTTGGTTATGTCGAATTTAAGAATGAGGAGTCTGTTGCTGCTGCCATTCAGCTTACTGGCCAGAAACTCTTAGGCATCCCCATCATCGCACAGCTCACAGAAGCCGAGAAGAACCGTCAAGTCAGAACCGCTGAACCTGCCAGCAATAACCCGAACCAGATCCCATTCCACCGTCTCTATGTTGGTAATATCCATTTCAGCATCACTGAAGGCGATCTACAGAATGTTTTCGAACCCTTTGGAGAGCTCGAGTTTGTGCAGCTCCAGAAGGAAGATCAGGGTCGAAGCAGAGGATACGGATTTGTCCAGTAAGTTACCCTACCCTGTCCCCTCCCCTCACCCACCGAGTTACATTCGCTAACCGCCCGCCCCGCAGATTCCGCGATCCCCACCAAGCCCGTGAGGCGCTCGAGAAAATGAACGGGTTCGATCTCGCAGGTCGACCCATCCGTGTTGGTCTTGGCAATGATAAGTTCACCCCTGAGTCCACTGCGAGCCTTCTACAGAGATTCCAGGGCCAGAGTCACCAGCAACAGTTCCAGGGCTCCGCATTCTCTGGCGCAGGCGGTCGCGGCCCTCAGGCAAGCGGAGGCGGCGGCGGCGCATTCGACCGGGCGGGCGGCCGCGATAACGATAAGGGTGCGGGAGGCGCCAGCGCGCTCGATGACACCGATGTGGGGGGGGTCAACTTCAATAACTATAGTAGGGACGCCTTGATGAGAAAGTTAGCCCGAACCGATGAGCCGGCCCCGGCGACCAATGGCCGCGATGACAGACGCGAAGTGGCTAAGCCAAGAACAGAGGTTAAGCCTCCTCCGATTAATGTTAACACTGCCAGTCGCTGCGTCGTTCTGAGGAACATGTTTGATCCTGCTGAGTAAGTATTCCCCCTCTCCGTTCCCCCTCTTACTATCAGAGTGAGTTCATGAACAGAAGACTAACACGACACAGGGAAACCGGTGAGAACTGGGAAAAGGAGCTCGAGGACGATGTCCGCGCCGAGGCTGAGGAGAAATATGGTCACGTCGTTCACATCTCTCTAGATCCGAACTCGCAAGGTGACATCTACCTCAAGTTCGACCGCGTCCAGGGCGGCGAGAACGCCATCCAGGGCCTCAACGGGAGGTATTTCGGCGGCCGCATGATCAGCGCCACGCCCGTCGTCGACGCCGTCTACAGCACCATGTTCTCGCGCACCAAGGCCATCTGATGCATTTCTGAGTACTCTGGTGTTTTGAGCTTGAGCTAACAGTAGGTTATTTGAGAATTGAGAATGGGGGGGGGTTATGAGGATTTTTTGGGGGGCGGTGCGGAGGGGGGGCCATCTTGTTTGCTTAAGGGTAAAGCTCCAATGACAAGAACGATTATTCAGATCATATTAATTGCCTCTGTGTACAGTTTTTATATATTTTTTATTTAAAATCACTCTCGTGTGTGTACTGCCTGACCTGGGTATAGAGCCAAATCCATCCGACGGTATCCGGGCCCTTTTTAATTTGTAGCCACGTCTGTTTGTATTGCCCCCCCCCTTTTTCCAAATTTTCCACCAAAAACGCGGATTAAGTTCACTTCGACCCTTTCTTCCCGTTTCGAACCCAACGCCGCACGCTTCCGCGGACTTCGATGTGACTGAAGGTTTTTTGATTGTCACAATACAATCAACCCACTTTCTTTTATCACAACTCTTTTATCTTCCTTTTACGAAGGTTCACATTCTCACATTCCACTACTTTCTTTTTCTGGACAGTCTCTTCTGAGTGGATCGAGGAGTGCACGACGCTGTTTCTTCACGGGACTTTTGAGTGAGGAAAGTTTCGTGGTTGTCAGGATCGTCGTGACGTCAAATTGACCTGGGGGCACTTCTTCTTCTTCTTCCTATTCCAGGAATCACATGCCGTCAAACCATCTTCGTTGAAGTCTCATTTCCAACTTCCATCAAACCACCTCATCACCCACGTTCTTTCAACACCCACCATGTCCCCCTCCAATTCCCAAAACACAACGGAGGCCCCCTCGTCCGACACCCCCAACGACACAACCTACCTAACCTCCATAATCTCCGACCAACTCCGCCTCCTCACCAACTGCATGGCCGAACGCGACCGCGCCTCCACCGAACGCGACCGGGCCTGCGAAGAGCGCGACGCCGCCACCGCCCAATGCGCGAAATACTACCACGACATCCAGCTCCTCACCTCCACCATCTCCCGCCTCGAAGAGCAGGTCGCGCGCCAGGACACCGCCGCGCGCACGCACGCTAATAAGACCCGCGAGCTAGAGAAACAGGTTAATGTTCTCAGCCAGCAGGTGGCGGGGAAGAGGGCGGTGTGGTTTGAGCATAATCCGCGCTCGGGGGGGAGGTCGGGGGGGAAGTCGGTGAGGAGTAACAACCCCTTTGCTACGCCGACGAAGATGGGGCCGCTTGTGGTGTTTGGGAATGGCGGCAGCAATGCGGGGACGCCGACGAAGATGGGGAGGACGGTGGAGGAGGCGATGGCTGATGCGTTGGCGGGGGGTCAGCCGATCACGGCGCAGCTGTTGAGTCGGTTCGATAGCATTCCTCCATCTCCGCAGCATCTCGGCCCTGTCACGCCCGCATCTGGGGAACTGCCATGCGGCCCCGCGAAACCGTGTACGCTCAACACCTACGCATCGACCGCGAGCCGCGTGATCTCAGCCTGCAACGGGGTGGCGCAGAACGGGATCGACACGTTCCCCGCGACGAGCTTGATTCCATTTGAGAGCAACGAGGAGCTGATCGCGGGGTTCGTGGCGACGTTTGATGATGTATATCTCATGGTCTGCGGGTGGGTCACCACGTATGCGGATAAGATCAATCCGATTGATGAGAAGGATATTGGGGTGCAGCCGAGGTGCTGGGCGTATATGCTGAGTTGTCTCAGTCCGCTGGGGGAGAAGGATGCGGCGTTTGTGATTGGCAGCTTTCAGCGCGATACGGCGACGAGGAGGTGGTTTGTTATGAGGATGGTGGTGCAGTATATTCATCTCCATGTGTGGAGTTATACTACTTGGCTTGGGTATAGCGATGCGAGTGATGCGGATTTGAACCGTATTTGCAAGAAGCTCGCTGAGAAGGGTAAGTCCAGCCGCCTCGTCCACTCGCTCTTCCCTTGAACTTCAACTAACACCCCTCCCAGGCGTGACTCTCGACCAACGCGGTGAACTCCTCGCCGAACGCTCCCTCTGCGTCTCAGCCATCATGGGCACCCAAGACTACCGCGGCTTCCGCAAATACATGATCGCGCAACACACTAAGAAACTGCGCGACATCCTCCCCCTCGTCCTAAACCCCGGCATCAACCGCTCGGACGCCGGTCGCGACCTCGCCGTCGTGGTAGCCAAGGCCTTCGATCTCTCCGCGCAGCTGTTCACATGCGGCTGGACGTTCATCATCAGCATGCCCGAAGCCGGGGCGAAGTTTGCGAAGCCCAGTATGCGTGCTAGAAACTCGGATGTGGAGCCGCTGGATCTGCAGATGAGGGGGATGAGGATTCGGTTCGCGGTTACGCCGTTTGTGACGCTGAGGGATGATAGTGGGTTGGCGATTGTGACGAGGAATATTGATCGGTCGAGTGTGCTTATTGAGCAGTAAGTAGGTGGTCATCCTTTCGGCGTTAGATCGGAGTTGCATTTGGCGGTGGTTGGATGGTTTACTGAGAATTATTAGATCGCGGTGTTCTCGTTGAGTGGAAGATGGTCGGCTTGTTGATGGTCATCTTTCTCTGTTCCTTGATTTGCCATGAGATGAGCTTGTCCGCTCATAGGTCAGCAGCTCCTTCGTACCTAAAGCTTCTCATGTCCTTCGGTGTGACGTGTGCTTCCTGGATGCGTGTCCCGGTGATAATCTCGTCAGCCAGTCAATCTTCATCCAAGAGCCCTCATCCTCCCATCGCATGTTCTTGGTCGTTTCACTGAGCATTGGATGATCGTCTCATTGAGCATTGGATGGTCATCTTCTTGAGCATTTGAGGATCATCTCGTCGTGTTTACGGTCGGTCGTCTTCTTCAGAATCGAATGATCATCTCATTTATGGTCGTCTTCTTCAGCATTAGATCTCCCTTTTATCGATCATTAGACAGTCGTCTTCTCTCGCATTAGACTCTCGTCATCTTGGGCACCGCGGGCCATTAATTGAACAAAAGGAAAAGGAGGTCATACCAAACATTACCAAAAGAACTGCACCGGCATATTGCTTCATAACCATGTCTTAGCTAGCTGAATATAAAAGGATTTGATCCATATTTCGGATATGATTGTGATGTAGGTAAATTGTGAAGCTTATCGTCTCCTTTTCCCTGGTGTGAGTGTTAACCGCCTATTTTACCCGTGGATTATGTAAACGCTCCCACCAAGATCGGGGGATGGAATGTGAGATGCGAGGAAAAGGTTTATATAATGATGGTATGTTCTTCTGCTGCAATGACGAAGTCATGTTAATCATGAAATTCAGTGGGACCGACTGGAGCAGCGTCTTCGCTGTAATGGCCATATTATCAACCTTGCGGTCCAGGACTTCCTCTTCCCAAGCAAAACGGACAAAGACCTATACGACCCGTTCAATCACTTAACACTTAGTGAGTTGGAGACACAGCTCTCGAACTCGACGCAAGTGCCAGCCTTACCCTTAGCTGCACGATTCCTGCCCGATCAGAACGAGGAGGTATATAATGTCCCAAGCGCGTTAGAGACGGCAAACTAGAGAAAGCAGGGCCCCCTCGGGAAGCTACACAATATTGTCGTCTATATCCAGAGAAGTCCTAAACGACGAGACGTATTCTACAAGTACTCTAAGGGTCTGGGACTTATTCGTGACCAAAAGACGCGATGGAACTTGTGGTACCGTATGGTACAGCGACCTCTTCATCCCAATTGTCAGCGGGGTATCGAAAGGATGTGTAGGGATCCAGACTACGAAGACGACCTATTTGAGGACAAGCTTGGGCACGATGAATGGGATTACTTAAAGATAGTCTGTGACTTTCTCGCTTGACTTCAGCGAGGTTACCCTTGCATCAGAGGGAAGAGGCGCTTCACTCGAGCTTGTCTTGCCACAGATTGACTTCTTACTCACTCAGACTGAGAAAGCTAGAGATATGTATGAGGAAGACCTAATGATGAGAGTTGGAGTTATGGCGGCGTGGAAGAAATTCGACAAGTACTACGCCCTCACAGGGAGATCTGCAGCATACTGTGCTACAACCCTCTTCAACCTAGCACAAAAGAAGGGCTGGATTTGTTGTTTTTGAGAAGCTTCTCTCACGCTTCTCTCACTTTCGCTGGCTTTGTTCAGTGGTGAGCTGTGACAGGTCTTTGGTCTTTGTCTGCTTGGAGATTTCTGGAAGAGCCTGGAACAATACAATCATGCATATAACAGTAGCTCTTCTCCTGAAATACGATAGTTAGACCATCCAGAAAACACATTCTTTGCAACTGGATTAAGAGTAAGTAGACGCCCAAAGAGGTCGAAGATGGTATGCAGAAGGTCGACGCTTTATGGAAGAGTAGGTATAAGCTAGAGGATTCAGTCCTAGCTGTAGCGGCTTCTTTAATGCCAACACTATCTGTTACAACATAGTATCCTAAGAAGAAGCTTACCAATTACGATAAGTATCGCAAGGCCAATTTCGAAGAGCTGATGATTCGGGAAACCATTACAGACGAGCTTGAGCAATATCTACAGGACGCGCTCGAGTGGCCTGGCGAGGAACCTACCCATTCGCTTTGTTTGTAATTGTCGCATGCGCGACTCCTATCGTGTATGTAACCCACCACAATATTGTTAGCACCCTGTGAATATCGGCTGTTGATTTTGCGTCAAACACAGTATCTCTATCTTCACTGCCTTAGTATCGACTGCTAGTTGAACTGCGTCCTTTGGATTAGCTTCTGTGCTGATTCCAGAAGAATACCTACAAATGTTGAATGCGGCAACTGTTTCCTTTGAAGTGGGCGATGACGGAGGGACGGGACACGACCACGGAGTTCAGTCCCAGGCCCATCATGCTCTCTAGCTTACGTTAGCATAGAAACCAGTCTCTTGCGTTTGAGGTATCACCTTATCACCATAGTCCGCAGAGAGTCTTGTTCTCCTTTTCTGCGATCCTCAAAGCTCTTTGGACCTCGGTGTGGACTAAACGCATCAAGGCATGGCTCTTCTTTACCCTCATCCCACGACCATGACCTACTAAAGTCACATATGACCGACGCACAGTTCATAAAAACGTCAGGCTTGATGTCTCCGTGAATGACCCTTGCACCATGTAATACTTCCATCTTTTCCATGCAATGAATATAGATGTGAACATACTCGGCGTCCAGTCCATTCTTATACAGCTCTTGTGCATATTGACGCGTTGAATTACTGATCCGTACATCGCCCTGGGCATTATGTACCTCTATCCCATCGAGAAGTTCAAGAATAATGATAGGAACATCCTCTCTGTTGTTGTGGAAAGTACGCCATTCACGGGGACATAACTTCCAACTTAACATTGTCGCTCCGTAATATATAGGAAAGAATTGTCGCGTTGGGTACGAAATGTGTTTATCGATGTGCTCATAAACGCGTCTCTCTCGTCTCCACGGATGGAAGCGTGCTTCTAGTTCAGCATCTGAGAGGTTATATGACTGGAGGCGATGGCGATCTAAACGTTTACATTTTGCGCTATAGGGCTCGAACTAGAAATTATGTTAGGTAGATAGATTGAAAGTTGGAGTCGCGAAGCACTCACTAATTTCACAGCATATGTATTGAGACCGAGGATAGCCTTGTAAACTTGGCCGGTCTCAGTTTGATGTGCTAGTGGTCCACGAATCTTTATCTGTTCAATGTCTTCAATGGGTAAACGCTTTACTTCTTTAGCCATTGAAGACATTGTATGGTACACATGTCGTTGATTGTGAAAATAGGGAGTTTGTCGTGGAAATAAGGGACCGCCGCTACCTCCACTTCCACTTCCACTGCCGCTGCCACTGCCGGTACCAGTACCATAATCATAGTTGGTATCAGCACTGCCGCTGCCGCTGCCAGTACCATAATCATAATCGGTACCACCACTACTACTGCCAGTACCATTACTGGACAGGTAGCGAACCATTTTCAGACACGAGGACACTCAAGAACTTTAAAGCTGAAAGAGTCCAAAGGGACCAGAACCGTAGGGCTGGTTAGGGTAGCCAATGGGTCTACTGGGATTTGACAGCATGCCTGCGAAGCTCCATGTGCTACACTCTGATTGAGCACGAACAATTCAGCCTTGCCGATTTCTGATACCGCCCTTATTTACCCCAACAAATCAGATCTATTTGCCTTCGGGCAATTTGGTCAACATTGAAACGAGTAAGTGCCCCCAAGTCACGTGATTTCAAATCATAACATGTACTAACGGTTCAATAGTACAGAGAAGATTAGCATGGCCCCTGCACTAAGGATGACACGCTCAATCAAAGAGAAGCTACCAATTTTTTTAGGTTTTTGTTTTGTGTTTTCTATCGTTTATTTACGAAGCCATCTCTTCGCTCTTATCGTTTGTTATTCGTTCTTGCCTTCATCGTTGTCTTGTCTCTCGTGGCCTCCCAAAGCTTCAATATCTTTTTCCAGTTTGATTTTTTTTTCGCGTAATCTCGCTTACCAACGTGTCTCGCCATCCTCGTCCCAGCTAACTCCCAACTCCCGTCTGTAGAAGCTTCTCTCCACCCCGCTCGCCATCCTCTACACTCTAACTTACACTTTCGAGTTGGATATTGCGGTGGCGCTTGTGGCGTTTGGGGCGGGAGAGCAGGCGCTTGCGACGACGGTGGGGCCGTTGGTGGAGGTGCCGTGTTGTTGGGTTGGTGTATGGGTTAGGTGGGTGGAGGGATTGAGTGCTGCGTGAGGGGCTCTGAGGTGAGGGGCTGCGGGAGGCATGTGTATGATGTTGGTAACATACGATTCACAGTTGCATCATCTTTCCCCTCACAGAATGGGGGACAAACGTGGGGTTAGTGTGGAGTTGTTAGTGTAGTAAATTCACTACTAAGTTATTTTGGGCTGTGGTATGGGACACACTTGTCGCATAATGCAGGTGAGATTTGTTATGGTGGGGCTAGGGATAAGGGCTGATATATAGGCAGTGTTCAGTATTAGTACAGGAGCTATAGGAACAGTCTCGTTGTGGAGTGTTTCATCCGCTTCCGACGATTATGGAAAAAGGGTTCCACATGCCGTGTCATAGGTGCACGGCGGTGGTATGTGAGTACCCCCTCAACACCCCCCCTACCTTACAGTCACCTAACCCCATCCAGCTCGATTGGTTCCACTGGAACCTCTCCCTCGCCTGGATCGCCGTCATGACCGAACTCATCATCGGCACCATCCCCCGCGAACCCCCCATCCGCCTCCTCACCATGCCCGTCCCCAGCATGGTCTTCGCCTTCCGCCTCGAGCTCGTCCTCGTCGACGCCCTCCGCCTCCTTGGCATCCCCTCCCCCGTGCGCATCTCCTCCGTCACCCGCGGCGCCCCGCTGCGTCCTGGCGTCTACAGTTTCATCGAGGACGTGTGCGCCGTCGATGGCTCGGGTGGCACGGAGTTCCGCCAGCGACTGAATCTGCGGTATATGGCGAGTAAGCCGTTTCGCCGGATGTTGCATCGGCTGACGCGACAACGTCGACGGCGATGATATTTACGTTGTCGAGGAATGCGGCGTATGTTATTGGGTGGACGGTGCCGTTTGGGTGGGCGGCGGTGTGGACGCTGGTTACGACGAAGTGGGTGCAGAAGAGTCTGGAGGTTGAGAATAAGGTGTGGAGAGAGGAGAAGGAGCATCGGCGTTTGGGTGGTGTATGACCAGTGAAGGCGTCTCAAGGGTTATAGCTCAGAGGCCCGGTCTGGTGGTGAATATGAAGCTTCTCCGGACGTCTCTGGGCACCTAACAATAAAAAAAATATTGATGGCTCGACTTTTGGAATCAATGAGACAGCGAAATATACGATGTATAAATATTTTTGTTTAACAAAAGTCTGAGATGGGATCGTTATGATAATTGATACCAGCATTTAAGCAGATGGGAAATATCATCTCGGCTATTTTGAAGCAGTTTCTTTAGAACACTCCTGTTGTACGTACATAGTTCCTGATGATAAGTTTTGTCGGCACCTATATTTTCATTTTCACACAATAATGGAAAAACTGATAATTTTTTATTAGACATTAAACCTCAAGTCTAACACTATTTTTTGATAGGGAGTATTTATTACATTCATAACAAACCACAGCCAAGCTAGAGACGTTTCGAACTATTGCGCTTCTGCAAGAGCAAATATTACTTGTAAAGACCGTAGCTCGAAGCTCAAATCCCACTAATGTAGTTTAGCGCAAAACAAAACAAAATCGATCACGTGCTCACGCGCCGCCTCGTCGCGGTTTGACCATGTCGAGTCGTCGGCACAGCCACAGCCGCGATAGCACATCACGCCCTCCTACCTCTCAATGCCTCCATGACCGACCTCTCGTCCATTCTCCCCGCCTTTCCTACAGCGCCATATGCCCACCTCCTCCCCTCACTCGAGAGGCAGGGCGTCAGCACAACCGACCTTCTAGCGCTCGACCCCGCCGCCCTCGCCAAGCGCGCAAATATACCTGTCGAAGATGTCAAGCGACTCTGCACCCACGTCCTCAGGGCGCTCCAGCGTGATCTTGGCCTCACAGGCGACGACCCAGAGACGGCGCTCTCCTCGCTCCGAGGTACGGGGAACCAGATTTCGAAGAAGTGGGATGCTATCAGCACCCTCGATCCGAGCCTCGATGGTCTCCTGAGCGGAGGCTTCCCAGCAGGATACATCACTGAGATAACTGGCGAAAGGTACCACCTCGCCTCCATCAATTGGCACCACAACTAACCCCAGCAGTGGCTCTGGCAAAACCCAACTCCTACTCCTGCTCCTCCTTGCAGTGCAGCTCCCATCCCCTCACGGCCTCAACCGCTCCGCAATATATATCACCACCGAATCTTCCCTCCCAACCACCCGCCTCGCCCAGCTCCGCGCCGCACACCCCATCCTAGCTGAAACCTCCCTCTCGCGCATCCTTACCATCCACGCCCGCGACCTCGAGACCCAAGACCACATCCTACGATTCCAGCTACCCCTCGCCATCCGCCGCCACAACGTCGGGCTGGTAGTGATTGACTCCGTTGCCGCAAATTTTCGAGCTGAGTTCGAACGCAGCGGCGACGGCGGTGCGGCGCATGGCGCGAATATGGCGCTCAGGACGGCAGAGCTGGTGGGGCTGGGTGCGCTGCTGAGAGGGGCCGCGAGGAGTGAGGGCGTTGCAGTTGTAGTGTCGAATCAGGTTGCTGATCGGTTTGCGCCGCTGAGTGTGGGAGAGGGTCCGCGGGGCTCGTGGGCAGAGAGTCAGGGGCGCAGAGAGAGGCTGACGCTGGATGGGCAGATGCGGTTTTTTACGGGGTGGGGGATGGAGAGTATTGGGAGGAGGGGGGATGAAGACGCCTAGTTTGGGGTTGGTGTGGACTAATCAGTTGGCGTGTCGGGTGGCGGTGGGAAGGGGGGGAGGGAGGAGATGGATGAAGGTGGTTTTTTCGGCGTGGGGACCCGGAGGGAGGGAGGAAGTGGAGATTTGGGAGGGGGGAGTGAGGGCAGTTGGAGAACAAGCGAGGGAGACAGCGGAGATAGTGAATGAAGCGATTAATTAGATCAGTGGACGCGACCTGATCCGCTTTGATTGAGTTTATGTCGCTCTTCCTATCTTGTATCCATACTGCCCACTACGGTGTCTACGATTGGGTGAAAGAGGGCACAATCAGGCTATGAAGCGATGCCATCGCGTTTGGCCAAACAAAACTCGCGCAGGTGTTGAGCTGCGGAACATGGACAGCCTTTCCGAGATGGCTATCGCAAAATACATGCCTCCCACGGCAAAATGACGGACACAGCACTCTCGACTACGACCTAGGAGCCTGAGGATGTTGGAGAAGAGTGTAGTGAGCCGCCTGCTACAAAACCCAGCACTTAATACCTCTTCACTGACTGGTACATGGGCACCTGAGCTGTCTAGATACCGTGCATAGCTGTCCGTGCCGTCCTTGCCCTCCTGCCGTTTTGCTTTTACAACTCTTTCACAACAAAGCAGCATGACCCGCTCTGTCGTACCTCTCGGATAGGCCACTCATACCTTCCTACTCACTTTCATTTCGCTCAAACACAGTAATTTAGCGAAAACCGTAGGACTCAACATCCGTCTCACCCATTAGTTAGGTAGGCCAGAGGCTGGCGAACCTTTTTAAAACATGTGGCCGAGCATACGACTCATTCTAACAGCAACCTACTAATATCATATGCATAGAGACTCTACCGTCCGTCTAGCTAGCATCAACGTAACCCCTGGGAATCTCCGTATACTAGTTTCCTTCTGCAGGATAAGTTAAGTATATCTTCTGCAATTGCAAGGTAGTCAAACTAGGGGAGACTCGCCTTCGAAGTCCTCGCCCATTGCCGCGCTCAGAATATTCCTTACTTCTACAGTGTCCTCAAGAAAGCCTAGAAGCATTTCCGCCGCATCTTCTTGGGATAACACTGATATATGGTCTTTGAGAAATAGAGGTCCTTCGTAAGGGTTTCTGGCTACAATTCTCTCACAAAATTTCTGTATGCGGCGATCGATAACGTCATGGGCCACCTTAGCTCCCGTGGCATCCAAAAATTCTTTTAGCCCAACTACTTCGAGTTCTTTCGGGCCCGGCGATATTGAAGGAGGTGGGTCGACCACTATACGTTAGTGGCATTCATAAGGTCGTCGTAGGGCACGGGAGGTTTCCAGCGACATTATGACCGTCTAGCCGGCGGGGTCCAAGTCGCGCATCTCTGCCCAGCGCCGACGATATGGGCTGTTGCTGTTTTTGCCTCGAGGCATATCTTCAGGCACAGTAAAGCTTTCGGCAAGAATTGGGCTGATCTCGGCTGCGGTTTCTGGATCGCCGTCAAGAAACGCTGGGGAGCTAGAGAAGCTGAAGAGATTCAGTGGCTGGATTGTATATTCGTCCGATGATGTTAATAGTGATTGTATATAGATTAAGAAGCCGGTGGCAAAGCGCTCTGGCTTAAGGAGTGCATCGCCTAGGTGGATGTAGATACGATCCTGCGTCTTATATATTTGGTCTAATACGAGTATTTGCTGGACGGGAAAGTTGTCAAGGGGCGCCATCTGGACCCTATTAGCCGCTGGGGCACTTGGGAGCTAGGACCTCATACGTTGGGCAGTTGAAAAGGCGCCCGCAAACATGGCAGTCGTGCGTTGTAATATCTGAGGATACGCCGCCAGCTCCACAAACAGCTGCCCGCTTAGCGCATCACTTTCCCGGATTGGACTCTGAAGGAAGTAGAGCTTACGAAGCCTCTCTACCTGTGATAGTGCGCGTGCAAGTTGGGCTGGCGTGCCTTGAACTCTGTCGATACAAATGCTGGATGGACGTGACTTTAGCCATGTTAGGCGCGCTGAGGACAGCCGAAATAGCCTCTACAGGAAGATTGTTTAGTTGTTCCAAGCTGACATGCTCCCCGTTGAGAAACGCCATTGTAATAAGCCGATTAGACGAGTGCATGGTAAGAAACCGAGCTGGGTCTTGCAACAAGACGCGAGAAAATATGGCTCCACCAGCGTGGGCTGGACTCGCGGTTACCATGTCTCACATAATACCCAGAAGCGAGGGCAAGATCGGCGCGGATGGCGCGGATGGCACGGTGATTTGCTTGGTCTGAGAAGATGGTAATGATGCGATGACATGCCGCAGTGAGGGGGGGTATCCTCGTAGCGCCATCTCCCCATTGTTATTGTCGGCTCGGCAACGGGACGGCGGCGGTCGCCGATCTGTGCTACAGCAAAGAACGCCCATGAGTAAGGGTCCGTTGGGTCTCCCAATATAGGCCCTGCGACAGGCCTCCAGTATGGCTTGAATGGTGTCCGCGACATGGCCTGACAGGGCGACGTGCAACGTTTAAATAGCCATAAAGTGTTAACTGATTTTTTGATCCATTTTAGGGTCTATGTAGTAAATATATGGATGCTCTAAGCATGATGGAGATAAGTTTGCTTTGCCTCCTTTCTTCCATAGCGAAACCAGGCCCAAGGCACCCAAAAACAAATTTCCAAGACCGCCCCCCATTCTATATCCATAGCGGGTTTACAACACAAGTGAACGTGACGTGGCCCGTCGAATTTACAATATACTGTATATTTATCCAATCCATATGTACTCTCCGAACTACTTCGACGCCGTAATAACGTGCTTCCCATATTCAAGTTGCACCGTAACGTGGCCATCCTTATACTTCGGGTTAAATGCCCTCCTTCCCACCGCATACACCAGCTTTGAATTTACAGCCACCATCACCTTTTCACTGGTCACCGGCACCGACACAGTCCCCTTCGTGCCCTTCGGCACCGTAACCGTAATCTGGAACTGCGTACTCGCATTCTCCGCCGTCCAATCCACCATCAACGGCCCATGCGGCGTGTCCACCTGTCCCTTCGCCCACGTAATCCCACCAACAAGCATCGGCTTGACAGTCCACTCCGCGAACGCAGGCGCCGTCGGCATAATCCCCAACACGTAGTTAGACATCAGAGGCACGATGCCTGTGCTCCAGCCGTGTGTCGCGCTCGTGAACCCCGCCTCGTACATCGAGCCATCGGTGCCGATGCCCTCCCAGAACGTGCTCTTTGGGTCGTGCGTCGCCATCCACCCGTACAGGCGCTTAATCTCTTCGATGGCCGAGTCGCCTGCTCCGGAGGCAAAACGCGCTTGTAGCTCGAAGTATGAGATGAATGCGTACACGCGCTTGGAAAAACCGCCGCCGATGACATCCGAGTCGAAGAAGGGGTTGCCGTAGGGGAGGGCGAGGGAGGCCCAGTACTTGAGGGCCGAGGCTGATCGAGTGCTGTCGGCGATTCCATTCAGGACTGCGAGGCCGTTACCATCTTGGCCGTGATTGGTTGTTTTGGAGGAGTCGAAATAGGCGCCTACGCTGGCGTCCCAGAGGTGGACGTTGATCGCGTCGGAGACGGTTTGGGCACGCTCCGCCCAGCGCTTGGCGTCATCGGGGTGGTTATAAAAGGTTGCGATGCTGGCGGCATTTCTGAGTGCTTGGACGTAGAGTGCGTTGTAGTACGTGATCAAGCCATGGCGATTGAGAAAGGCATAGTCTCCATATGGCGAGTCATCTGGTTTGTTGATGAGGCCTGTAGCGCTGTCTGTCATGGAAGGGTAGAAGTTGTCTAGCACCTTTGTAATTGTTGGATAGTATTTTGCTGCGTAAGCATCGCTCGATGTGTATACAATCAGATCGTAGGTACAGGTCACCCAGTGGAGGGGGTAATCCAACAGTTGAAGCTGGTAGTTGTTGATGGATGCTGGAGGGATCCAGCCGTCGCTCCTTTGGTGATCCGCCAAATCTGCCAAGACGTTCTCAGCTGCAATGCTAAAGTTATGTGTGAGATACAACGTTCTGGCGGCGACAGCTAAATCTCCAACATAGGGGTCACGGTCACGCTTGGCCCCGTCGAAAAGCACTTCCTTGCCAACAAGGGTGGGACTCCCAGCATTCCTCGGCTCTGTGTCTTCAAGTCGGAATGTATCAGTGCACAGGTCGTTAGTATAAACCGCGGCGTACCAAAACTCGTTCAGCGCAGCATCCGAGCACTCAAAATTGCCCGAGTAAGTGTCTTCCGTCCCTAGATACGCTGAGAATGCAAGCGAGATTGAATCGATAGACACGGATCCAGAAGCTTGGGTATTTGGAGCATCGGCTGCAAGCGCGTCAAGGTAGATTTTGACATATCTGAAGCCGTGCAAGCCATCAGCGCATACCTTCGTGCCATCCTCACACCCGTGATTGTCGGTCCAGGTATATGGATCAGACTTGACAGCAATCTGGTCCGATCCAGGTGTAATGGTATCCCCCTACAAAGTCAGTACAGCATGCTTCAAATTGGGCCTCCAAACTAACATTGTTCGACCGCGAAAAATCGCTCAGGTCCGTCAAGTACTGTGTTGTCTCCGAAAATGCCAATCGTATGCCGGGGTTATTGGTTGACGCGCCAGCAAAGTTGATAGAGAGCTTTCCAACAACCACTTTCCCAAAGTCAAGAACAACCGCAGGGGCCACTTGCCCAGGAACTATACCAGGCCAGACTTCTGCAATCCTCGTGTATTCTCCCTGGCCAGTCGCCTGAGCCTGAGTTACGGTAATACGGATCCCTTCCGCATTAACGGGCTCAGCGAATGGGACCTGGATCAAGACTACGGCGTTGTCGCTGACAGTGGCAACTGCCCCCCATGAGCCACCCTGAAGAGCCTCTACTGTAAATTTCACCGGAACGCCGTCCAAGCTTGACAGAATTGTTATGCCGGATAGAGTAGTCGCAGTTGGTATTGTCAGTGTTAAGATATCAGAATAAGCACTGACTGTGTCGTCGTTCCAGAAGGTCGCCCCGTTTCCATCAATAGCATTGCTAGGAGTATACGTCCGCGGCTGGCCGTTATTTGTGTTTTCCGGGCGAAAGCTTGAAGCGTCTGCTGTCGTGCCCTTCGGCCACGAAGGGGGAGCTACTGGGGCAGCTCTCTTCAGCGTTGTCACATCACCGCCACTGGTGAGCAAGGCACTTGGGTTGGTAACATCGCCAACAGTGCGGCCTTCTAGGATCGCTAAAGGTAAAACAGTGAGGCTCTGAGGTGATATGATATATTGGGCCCACGAAGGCGACTGCTGTCCTTGGATATACGGTACGGCGTTGATCAGCAAAAGGAGAGCAAGAGCCCACCAGCGTCGGAGAGCAATTTGCACCATCGCTTTTCGAAATGGCCTGTGGCTATGGTTTTCAACTCTCGTTGCGGGATCCTCTCCCTTTATCACCTGGTATCCCACAGGTGTTGTTCACATGAGATTTTAAATCCATGTCACAAACCTCGGGTTATTTTAGCGCGATATAAGCTACAAGACGCGCCGGCGCGCCCACGGCCCACTCCACGGCGGTCACAAAGGCGGGCTTACTCGGCGTTATTGACAGCATTGAGAGGCTGCATGGTTTGTGAAATTGCGGTGTCAGGAACACTTTCGTGCAAGCTGCCAAGGATAACGTTGAGCTCCTTCCAAAGTAAGATTACCGTAAGCGCGATCCGGTCCTTCAAGCTTCAAATGCTTGGGGTGGCTCGGTCTATGACTTCGCGACGGCGCATACTTCAACGGCACAGAGTTGCGGGGAACCTTGGATGACACTGTCTCGTCGCCTATAGAAGCATCGGCGGTACGTACTAGCAAATAGCTTGGCTCCGTTGTGGAGGATTGACATGTCTTGGAAGCCCTGTCCCGCTGTTAACGATCTCGAGATATTAGGTCAGCAACGAGTACGAATGGACAGAATGACTCCAGAGATAGAAGAGTACCCGTAATACCCATAATACATATGAGTTGGCAGTAGCACAGACGTATATACAGGAAAGAATTTACCGTGGTGAAAGAAGTACAGGTTCCATAATTCTGAGGCAGCTGGCCGCTTCCGAGACAAGTATTACAGGTCATCAAGATCAACTCTTTCAAAAGTGGACTGTGGCTGATAATAAATTCCACGTGATAGATAGCACTCAGATCATCTGTCTGTTCCGAAAAGGAAAATAGGGCGGGTTTCAGGTGTTCTTATGACAATAAGACTCAACCTAGGTACTAGGTTGAGTCCGCCCTATTTTCCTTTTCGGAACAGACAGATGATCTGAGTGCTATCTATCACGTGGAATTTATTATCAGCCACAGTCCACTTTTGAAAGAGTTGATCTTGATGACCTGTAATACTTGTCTCGGAAGCGGCCAGCTGCCTCAGAATTATGGAACCTGTACTTCTTTCACCACGGTAAATTCTTTCCTGTATATACGTCTGTGCTACTGCCAACTCATATGTATTATGGGTATTACGGGTACTCTTCTATCTCTGGAGTCATTCTGTCCATTCGTACTCGTTGCTGACCTAATACTAGGTTGAGTCTTATTGTCATAAGAACACCTAGGTAGGCTTGAAACCCCTTGGAGACAGAAGTCCCTTGCTTCGAGTTGATCTGAGGAACTCTGGAGGTTCTGGGTATTGAGCCCGCACGACGTGGTTGAGTGAACTCGACTAGCCAGCACCTCCACACGTAGAGATTCCGTAGAGCAGCTCTCTTGCCTCAATCAATTAATCAACATCACATACATCAATACACTGTCATGATCACATATCAAAATTCCGAAGTGTTGGACTTTGCCATACGCACGCACTGCCTCACAACTGTATAACATCGGACTACAGCATCGTCTCGTTAGAGGCAAGGATTTTGTAAACATACAGTGTGTATTTATCCCGCCATCCTTGTTCATCGATGGCGAAGTCAGCTTCGACCTTAATTAAGACTCGCTTTGCGCATTCATCCGTTACATAAGCTTTCTTTAGTCTTTCTTCCAACTCCGAGTCCTCCACAGTGGCAATCGTGGCTAGCAACTCGTTATATTGCATTCCTACATCTGTTTTCTTTAATATGACTCTAGACTCTAGGTCTTTCTTCTTTTAGGCCAATGTAGTCGGTCTGTCTACTAAGAGCATCGGCTCTTGCATTCTTAGAGCCCTTGCGATATGTAATCGTGAAGTTGTAGGCTACGAGTGTCTCTGCCTATTGGACTTGTCTACGGTTTAAAATCTTGGTTGTGGTGAAGTATATGAGATTCTTATGATCCGTCTATACCTATATAGGGTAGGTCGATCCTTCAAGATATACTCGCCATTACTTAAAGGCAACGACAATGGCTATTAGTTCCTTGTCATGAATGTCATAGTTAAGCTCTATATGTGACAGTTTTCTAGAGTAATATGCGACTAGGTTGAGCTTTCTGTCTTTGTCTAGTTGACTTAGACATGCTCTAATCGCGAAATCAGAGGAGTCCGTCTTAAGGATAATCTTCTTTGTAGGGTCGAATGTAGCCTAAGAAGGCTTGTACTTCTTTAACTATGGTTGGTGTTAGCTATTCTAACCTGCCATGACCTTTGCTTAGTCTATCTTTATGCTATGCGTTCTGATGATGTAACCTAAGAATTCAACTTGATTCTTATAGAATTCGCATTTCTCTAGCTTAAGGAGTAGGTTATATTCCTTCAACTTTTGTACTACCTTTTTAACGTGGTTTATATGTTCTGTTAGGTCTTTAGAGTTGAGACTAAATGTCGTCTAAGTAGACAATGATGAATACGTCTAGGTATTCATAGAGGGCTTATTCATGAGCCTCTACATAGATGCTAGTGTGTTTGTTAGTCTAAAAGGCATAACTAAATATTCAAATAAACCATAGTAGGTGCAGAATGCTGTTTTCCACTCATCTCCCTTCTTTATTCAGATTAAGTTATAGGCGCCTCTTAGGTCTAGTTTTGTGAATATCTTAGCTCCTTAAAACTGGTCATGTAATTCGTTTATCAAGGGTAAGGCATATCTGTCCTTAATGGTGATGTTGTTCGTACCCTGATAATCTAAGCTGTTTGCCATCCTTTCATCTGCTGTTCCCTTCTTTTAGTTGCTTGTAGTTTTGCACCATGGGTCTAGGTTTGTTGTAGTTGAAGCACAGCCGTTCCTTAAGTTGTCGCTCCTTGTTAGAGTCATGGGGGTTGCTAGCAGGCTTGAAAGTGGCATTGAGTTCCATAGGATCCGACTAACAGTTATCCTATAGGTGGTTATCTTGTTTGCAGCCTTTGTTTCCTTAGTACTTACAGCTCTTCTTTAGGCTATAATAGTTTCTTTGCTCCTTCTAGAACTCATACAACAAGTTGTCAATCCAGATCGTATGTTCAATTAACGAAATCATATCTGTTAGTTGCATTTTCATCTATGCGAGCTCTATGTAGACGTGACTCTTTAGTCCATGGCGATGGTGGCTAATAGGCGCGCTTGTGTCCCACTTAGTCTAGGTCCCATATCTTTAGAACTCTGTGGCATATGTGAGGGTGCTCCCTGTCTGTCTTAGGGTGTACATATGGTCTTCTATGGTCTTGACCTCGTTAATGTCGCTAAACATATAGCAGATTTCCTTGCAAAATCCTTTCTAGCTGCTAAACATAGCCTACGTGGTGGCCATGACTCCGTTGGTGTTTTCGTGTAGGAAGTAGTGTCATACTGACATTCGTTGCACTCAGTTTGCTATCAAACTCAAGAGCAAACTTAGAAATCTCCTCCTCAAACCTACAAGTCACCATACATATCTTGGCTTATCACACCAACAACAGAAGCAATACTACTCAACGATTGCTGCAAACTCTTTTACTACATCTGTTTATGCTACATACATCACGGCATATCATTTGAACACTCATTGAACAAGTTATTAAGAAAATCTCCTTCTTAAGGGGGTGGGCCAATACTACCACATGGCATATCTCTACCAACTAGAGGCCTAGGAACATGAACGATAGCTCTAGAAGCTTCTACAACCCTCTATGATTCATTACACGTCATCGCTCCTTAGTTACCCACAAGATTGGTTAAGTTATGACATAATTTATCTATAGGTACTCTGACCTTGGACCTCCTTTTCACTTCCTATAGGCTAGGAACCCAAGAGATGGTTCTATGGGATTCTCTTACGTTCACTACATGATTAGCAAGCTAGTTGTGGGTCGCACTTGATTTCTAATACATTTACCAAGCCTGGTTAGTCATGGAAAGTCATGGAAAATGAGAGAACTACACTCCTTTAGCATAAATAGGATTGCCCTTTCCTTAAGAAAGGGCAAGCAGGCAATACAGTAAATCGACTATCACATACTTCCACGTCTTTTCCAAGCTTCCAAGCATTCATCTTGTTACTCCTTGTTTCTGAAAAGTCAGTGAGGTGTTAACCTCTGACTTACCCCTGAGTTCCCAGACTCAACATTTGTTGCAACTTGTCTGAACCACTTCACTACATCACACACCTGATTGCTGTGTTGTGGAATAGTCTAAGCTACAACCCTTTGGCTCTGTTTCCTAAGACAGTGTGTTGTCTTAGTAAAATCATCCCTTCCTTGGGTGGCTAGATTCTCACATCTGGTGCACCCACCATTACACTCACCTTCCTTCTTTCTTCTTCTTCTTCTTCTCTTTAGATTCAATCTAGATTACTTTTCCTGGACTGGCATCATGACCTCTATGACCATCGTAACAGTAGGTGAACTAGCAACACCCAGAAACACCTTGACATTAGGATTCTTAGACACCATATTAGCCTAGTTGCCCTAGGTGTTGAAGTTGAAGTTATTCTGCGTCTTAGCGCCAACAACAAAGGATTAGAGACCACAGTAATTGTTGTCAAATTGGATCTAGATAGCGCCAAAGAAGATGGTTCCATTAAGCATAGGGTCGTCTGCTGCAATAGGGTATGGGCATTGTGGCGCAGCAGTTAAAAGCCATTTCTTGCCTGTTGAAGTGGAATTTTGATCCATTAGGCTGCGGAGCTAGTTTGCAAAGGGTGGCATATTGGATGCGACTGTCTCGAAGTCGAAGTCTAATCCATCTATGGTGGCTCCTCCAAATGTATTAGTAGAGAATATAGTTTGATGAGTTAAGGTGTAAAGGCGTAGGGCCCAGGGTGTCACAGGAGTTTAGGGAACCAGGTCAGGAGGCAGGAAGTAAGGGTTATATTGGTGTGAAGCACAATAGGTCTACGCTGATACAGCGACTATTGACTGGAGGCCTCACTCCGAGCCTCCATCCCCTTATATACAGGAACCCGTAGGCCCTAATTTACCGAGCCCGCCAGGTCCACTGTAAGAGCGTGGCACCTCACGTGCCCTCACGTGAGGG